TGCTTCTTCCATAGAATACTAACTTAAGCGTTGGAGTGTTCCCACCGGGTAAGCCCCCAGGGATTCTTCTTCTTCTTTATCTCAAGTACCCTTCGGAAGCCACGCGAGTGCCAGCTAGGAGTGATCGGATTGCGCACCATCAGTTTGGTTACCAATTGATTGGTTATCAGATTTTTGGGTATGATACCGTTTTAATTTGATATCATACTTGGACTCACAATAGAATTGACAATTTCACATAACTTGCCACATGGCAGATATTGAAATAGGACCCATTTTCAATGAATTACAACCACACCTAAGAAAGGATCTACACAACTGATCAGCATGATCAGATTGGCAGTGTAAAGGAAAAAAAAAAGGTCTGCAGTGCTTGTTACGCCATTTGAAGGCAAGGATGGCCTAAATAAGCTACTCAGCAGTCAGCATGAGTGCAATCCAAGGCCGAAAGCAATGGCAACGATCAAGTTTAACTCTCTTGTTACAGACTTGATGAGTAGTGTGAAGTGTGAACTAGATCGTTGATGAGAAAATTAAATGAGATATATAAGATCCTTGATGAGTGGGAATTCTGAGGCATTTGAACAATGCTCATGGTTGTTCACTTGACGAGCTAAAAGATAAAGAGAAAAGCTAGCATCCACTTCTTGATAACTCGAGTAGAAGGAAAGATCTTATTCTTCCTTTTTCTTGTGTTTTTTCTTTACAAGGAATGAGTTTATATATACAGGCCTTGTTCCACCTTTCCTAGTTATACTCAAACTACTATGATAAGAATTATCCCTTGGCTTAAGGGATCACTATCTACAGATAAGAATTGTCCTTGGAATTAAGGGATATTCCCCTAGTTTGACAGCTCACGCCAATACTCCCCCTCACGTTGGTGCATACAAATCTTGGATGCCCAACTTGCCAAGTGAGTTGTAAAAGTTTTTACTGGATACAGCTTTTGTAAGTATATCCACCAGCTGGTCTTCAGACTTGACAAAAGGAAATCGAATGATTTTATCTTCGATATTTTGTTTGATGAAATGCCGGTCCACCTCCACATGCTTTGTTCGATCATGTTGGACGGGATTCTGAGAGATATCTATGGCAGCCTTGTTATCACAGAATAGGTCCATCTCTGAGGTTGGGGGGAAATCGATTTCAGTCATTAATCTTCTAAGCCAGAGAAGCTCGCAAAGCCCTTTAGCCATTCCCCGAAACTCAGCTTCAGCACTTGATAAGGCCACCACCTTTTGTTTTTTACTCCTCCATGTGACAAGATTCCCACCAACACCCCGAGGTGGATTTTCTATTCGAGATATTTCCAGCCCAATCTGCATCTGTATAGCCTTCAATCTTTAGATGATTATTTTTTTAGAACATAAGTCCTTTTCTAGGAGAGGACTTCAAGTATCGAAGAATTCGCATTACAGCATTCATGTGATCTTTGCTTGGGCAATGCATGAACTGACTCACTACGCTGACAGCGCAAGCGATGTCTGGACGAGTATGTGAGAGGTAAATAAGTTTACCAACCAGCCTTTGATATCTCTCCTTATTGGTAGGTACTTGGTCTGGGTATTCTCCAAGTTTATGGGTTTGAATAATTGGTGTGTCTGCCGACTTGCACTCCAACTGTCCCACTTCGGATAGTAAATCTAAGGTGTATTTCCGTTGAGACAGAAATATACATTTCCTTGATCTAGCAACTTCAGTTCCTAGAAAATATTTGAGCCCTCCCAAGTTCTTCATTTCAAACTCAATTGCCAATTGTTTTTGAAGTGTTGCTATTTTTTTTGAATCATTCCCTGTGATAATCATGTCATCTACATATATTATTAAGGTTGTTACCTTTCCTCATTGGTGCTTTAGAAATAGTGTATGGTCTGAATTGCTTTGTTGAAAGCCATATTTCTTCATCGCAAGACTAAACTGCCCAAACCATGCCCGCGTTGATTGTTTCAGTCCATATAGTGCTCGTTGTAGCTTACACACAACTTTGGTCTTGGAATTCGCTGTATAACCAGGTGGGATGTCCATGTATACCTCCTCTTCAAGATCACCATGGAAGAAGGCATTCTTTACGTCGAACTGGTGCAGTGGCCAATCAAGGTTTGCTGCAAAAGATAATAAAACTCTAACCGTATTCAACTTGGCCACTGGTGAGAAGGTCTCTTGATAATCTACGCCATGTGTCTGAGTATAACCTTTCGCGACCAGCCTCGCTTTGTATCTCTCGATCGACCCATCAGCCTTGTATTTAATGGAAAATACCCACTTACACCCTACAGGTCTTTTTCCTTCGGGCAGGGTAACAAGAATCCATGTTTTGTTCTTCAATAGTGCCTCCATTTCTTCCTGTATGGCCTAAGTCCATTTCGAGTTTGTCAAAGCTTCTTGAACACTGGTGGGAATATGATTTGAGGACAATTCTTCTGTTGGGAGTGGCGATGTAGACGTTTTGTGTGTTGACTTTTATGCAGATGCACGAATGCCACACAGCCAAAAACTCGAGGTTGAATCATCAACACGGATGGCAGAGAGACATGTGATGAAAGAGCTTATAATGGTGTCTTAAAATGTAAGACTCGTGATGGCATTCGGTTAAGGAGGTGCACAATAGTAGCAACAGCATCAACCCAATGTCGGTTAGGTACATGTGCTCCAAGTAACAAAGCACGAGCAGTTTCAAGTATATGCCGATTCTTTCTCTCAGCAATGCCATTTTGCTGCAGAGTTTGTGGACATGAGGTCTCATGAAGTAGTCCATGAATCCGGAAATAATCTTGGAACCGTTGATTCATGTATTCCCCGCCATTATCAGACCTGAGAACCTGAATCTTTGTTGTGAATTGAATCTTCACCATCATATGGAAAGATTGAAATACAGTCAACACTTCATCTTTATGTTTCAGCAGATATAACCATGTCATACGAGTGCAGTCATCAACAAAGATTACAAACCAACGAAATCCAAACACCGTAGTTACCAGGGATGACCCCCACACATTAGAGTGAATTAAAGCAAATGGAACTTTACTTTTGTTCATACTTAAAGGATAGATAGTTCTATGACTCTTAGCTAAGATGCAAGTGTTACATTGAAAATCACGAGGCTGCATATCTGTAAATAAATCCAGAAATAAATGTTTCATGTAACCGAATGATGGATGTCCCAACCTACGATGCCAGATCCAAATTTGTTATTCTTTGGTGTTACTTTGATGATGTGCATGACGTGCTTGTCCCGTACTAAGGTCATCCATGTAGTAGAGCCCCCGCCCCCCTCCTAGTACCACGCCCAATTATCTCCTTGGTGAGAATATCCTGAAGAAGACAAAAAGTAGGATAGATGAGCACAACACAATTTAGATCAGTGAAAATCTCGCTAACAGATAGTAATTTATGGGAGAGCGAGGGAACAAGCAAAGTGTTCTTTAAGGATATTGCAGGTGACAAGGTCATATTTCCTGCTCTTGTGATCGGAGATATAGCCCCATTGACATTAGCAATTGTAGTCCGTCTCGGTGGTGAAGTTTTTGAAAAATCAGTAGCATCATAAGTCATGTGGTCGGTAGCCCCCGAGTCAAGTATCCATGCATTGCTATCAACAGTGTTGTGGGGAAGATTGTCACCTAAATCTGAGAGGTGTACGTCTCCTTGTAGTAATTCAACAGGTGGTGTGAATGAAAGTTGGGATTCTGCTGTAACCGTCGCAGCATTACCACCAGTTTCAGCCTTGTCTTGACGTTTCCGAGCTTGGAGTTCATGCCACCAGTCGGGGTAGCCATGTAATTTGAAGCAATTCTCCCAGGTATGCTTTGAGTTACCACAATGAGAACACTTAGTTCCACCAGAAGATGTTCGAGATTTAGAGCACATACCAGATTTTCCGTTGCTCAAAGACAGAGAGCCCGTTGAGGATGAAGTAGGTTGTCCAGTTTTAACACCTTTAGAGGCCAAAATAGCTCCTGGAGTTTCAATATTGTTACTGGTGATCATGACCATCTGTCGGATAGCCTCCCTACGAACATGTGCGTATGCTTGTTCAATAGTGGGAAACGGATGCATTTGGAGTACATCTGCTCGAATCTTGTCTAGTCTGTCATCAAGGCCATCCAAGAAAATATACACTCTCTCTTCTTGAAGAAGATTATTGTAACGTTGAATATCCGCAGCACACTCTATTGGATTTGGACAGCGAAAATCAATTTCGCACCACAAACCTTGGAGATCATTATAATACTTTTCAAGAGACCCTCCAGATTGGCGTAAGCGGGTCACACGGCGTCGGAGATCGTATACTTGCGAGGTATCACTGCCATCAAAGTAAGTAGTAGCAACAGAATCCCACACCATCTTTGTCGTAGGGAATCGAATAAAGTTACCGATCAAGGATACGTCCATGGAGTTAATTAACCAGCCCTTGACAATAGCGTTGTCCGTACGCCAWCTTCGAAAGGTTGGGTCAGTCTGAGGAGGCTGGGGAAGCTCGCCATTAATATATCCCAATTTGTCTTTGCCAGAGATATACATCTCAACAACTTGGGACCAAAGAGCATAGTTGGTGCCGTCCAACTTGATGCCAATCTGAGCGGCAGGAGTCTCTGTAGTCAGGGTCGGTCTATGTAGGATTTCAACCATTCTGGTAGTCAATTCAGTGAGGGTAGGGTTGGATCGTTGTTCCTTAGATGGATTTGAGATTTCTGAATCGGACATGGTTGTATCTGCCGAAGGGTGTCCTTGATAATGGCGTCTCGGAGCAGAAGAGGGAAGAGTCTAAGGAGAGGCTGAAGGGAATCTTGGGTTACATAGAAGATGACGTGGTTTCCACCGACTTCGCGGGTGACAACAGGTCACGCATCTTCGATGCCAAGGCTGGAATTGCTCTGAACGATAACTTTGTTAAGCTCATTTCTTGGTATGACAACGAATGGGGTTACAACTCCCATGTAATTGACTTGATCCTCCACATGGCCTCTATCAACTGAAACTGTTGACCGGTATGGCTTTCCTTGGGACGACGAATTCAGTAGTGGCAGCGATGGAAGGTGGGAAGCCGACAATTGCTACTAATGCTGAGGGTCAGAGAACGACGCCTTCGGTCGTTGCATACATGAAGAACGGAGACCGACTTGTAGGGCAGATTGCGAAGAGGCAGGCAGTTGTGAACTTCATACCAGGCGGTTTGCATTCAGCAAGGACTTGCAGCGGCAGTAGCAGCGGCCAACCACCGGCGATCACGGTGGAGTCGTCAGTTCTAGGCAAAGAAGAAACCACAAGATTTGGCAGAGCAACCGCCGGCGACCAAGATTTTGCAGAGCACCTCCTTTGACCAAAGAAGAGAACAACGATACCTGTGTTTTCAACCGAAGATTGGTTGCGGCCAACAGCCTCCGTGCGACCAAGATTCGCAGCGTCCAGGAAGGTGAGTTTGTCACGGACCGATATGCTCTGATACCATGATAACTCGAATAGAAAGAAAGATCTTATTCTTCCTTTTTCTTGTGTTTTTTCTTTACAAGGAATGAATTTATATACAGGCCTTGTTCCACCTTTCCTAGTTATACACAAACTACTATGATAAAAATTATCCTAGTTTGACAGCTCACGCCAATACTTTTGCATGTGTTATCACCTCAGTCCTTATAGCATCCTAAACTTGAAAGTGGAAACTTCAGCTAGAGGTGCTCTTAAGGCCAACGGTTCTCCAGGAAGGCTTGAGGGAGAAAGTGAATGAAGCCAAGCTTACTCTCTCCGTGCCAACTTTGAAAGTGACAGATGAAGCTTCCACGCGGCAAGTTTCCCACTTAGGCAAACAAGTAAAGCTATTTCTTCAAAAATTATATACTCTTAGCCACTATTGTCCAGTTGCTTTGTGTATTGTTGTCTTGTCGCAGGCTCTCGTTGCCTTGTAGGAGCCAATAAGTATTGCTTACAGTTACAACCTTCCTCACCCCACCACGACGCCGGAGGAAGACGATTCCCTTTTCTCTCCAGTTCAAAATCCTTTCTTTTCGGGAAGGTAAATCTTCTTGCTTCAAGTTTCCTGTCTGAGTAGAGTCGTGCGTATTCTTCATTATATTCCAGCTATACAATTTAGTTTCAGTTTTCCAACTTTCAAGATCAGTTTCAGACCACGAAAGGTCTTTGATTTCTTTAGTTTCAGTTGTTCAGCTACCATCAGTTGTTTCCATGTGCTTGCATTTAAGCGTCTTTTCTTTCTTTCTTTCTTCTTGCGATTGCTATATGTCTCAACACTTCATTTAAGGCTTAAGGCATTGCTCATGAAGCTTCTCAGAGAGGTTTCCGGGAGACGAGGGAATCCTTACAGGTTTCACCTGGTTGGCTCTCGGAACTGTTGGAAGTGGATAGAGCAAGGGATAGTTTTTTCTCTTGTGTTTCCATGTGCTGCGTCTGCATGGGCTCTCCTTTTTTTCCTGTTGTTTTCAATTCATTTCTCTTCTACCGAAAACAAAAAGGAAGAATTGCAATGGGTGACGTCTAGCAGCTGCTAGCCTGCCAAACACCCTCTTTTGGATTACCTAGAAGTGGTATCCAACAATTCAAAACACATCATGCAGGTCTCAGAAGATGTGTTGACAAATAGGGAAGAAAATAACTATAATCCCAGAAATTTACTGGTAGGTGCCATCAGAAATCCGATAAACGAAAATTAATTATGGATTTTGTTGGTTTTATGATTGTATTCTGCCACTGATTTTCTGAATGTAAATAGGCCTGTTGGTTTTTACTGTTTAAAAAGAGCTGATGATCATACAGCATTTTCTCTTGAGTTGCAGAAATTCTTTCCCGCAATTAAAATTAAATAGATTAAGAGATAATGTGATGTTTTGTTAATTTGAAAATGATGAGGTTATCATGTAGGGCACTTACTAATTTTCCCCAGGCACTATGACTGTGAGAGTGAGGCTTTTCCATCTTCTTGTGTTGAGCATTAGTTGGGTCTGTGCTGATGCTAGGTCCCTGGAGATCTCTGATGATTTTGGTGAGCTTTTACTCTGTTTCCCAAGTTTCCATGTTTTGAGCTGCAACCATTTAGAGATTCGTATAGTTGAATCTGCCTTTCATTTTGAAAAAGAAGTGATAGTTCTGTTTTCATGATTTTAGTCAAGCAGACATACCAGGAGCTCAAAGATAAATTTCAACCACCTCATCTAGTTCCAAGGAATGAACAGTTCACAGCACAGGCATCACTTTGCAGCTTGTGTGAACAGTTCATAGCAGAGGCATTGTACTATCTTGGTGCAAACAAGACCCAAGCAGAGATCATGGATATCCTCCATGGGACATGTTCCAAGATGGAAGCCTTCTATCCGCAGGTAACAATGGGAAATTATCTCTTCTCTTATATGCTAAAGAGATCCATATATTGACTCTGATAAGTTTTTCACATTGTATCCCTTAACAATTATATTCTAGATCAACCCACCAATATGATTAATTTGATAACACATCATGCATGCTTACCCAAACCATCTGAAACATCCATATATATGAAAAAGAAGGTAAATGGAAATTGAGGGGGGGTTCAGGGATGTGCATTTGAGGTAGTTTTTAAGGTCCCGTCTTTAAGGATCTTGACAGTCTAACCAGATCATATCAGCCATCGATAGAGCCATAGAGGTCTCTTCTTCAGTGAGTAAAAAAGGAAGGAGAATGCCATCAGCTTAATGGTTAGAATCAACAGAACATGCTGATTCATTGGTTATGGAGACTGTAACAGATACTTTCAATTATCCAACATGTGGCCACATTCTCCATGTTGACAGCTTATATGTCTGTAAACATGACCAGTTCCAATGTTGTGTTATTGAATATGACCTAGTTGCATTAATGATAACAGAAATTGTAAGCTTCTGTGTAGTGCAAAACCCAGTACCAGAAAAGTTATCTTCTGATGAAACTGAAAGTAAGACTTCAACCATCTGCAGGTGTTTGCAGGAAACCTTTGTCCTAAAAAGAAAGTACAAAGAGACTCAGATCTAAGTTTACCCTTTGTTTTATCTAGAAACTCGTTACACTAAATTGTTTCTACTTTTTAACTTTCCATTGAAATTTGTTCGGACAGTGCATGATGTTGGTAGACCATTATGGACCTCTTTTCTTCTTGGAGGTTTCTGAGATACAACCTTTAGACTTCTGCAGAAAGATGGATCTATGTAGGCACAGAATTATTGCTTCCCCAGAACTGCATCAAAATAGTTGTGCTATGTGCCAGCGTGCTGTGGCAGAGGTTCTAGTTAAGTTAGAAGATCCTGACATACAGGTCTGTACTTGAACATTCTTTTCTTCATGATTTTCATAAAAATATATAGTCTGTCATGTTGCATTCTTTGACAGGGATCTATAACACTCTTAGAAACTTAATCATGAATATGTTTGTTTAAGTCAGTTGACAATAAGACAGGTTGGTGATGTATAGGGCCCAAAAACAACTTAAATTTTGAAAGTTAAATTTGGCATGCTCAAGCATTAAATAATACTATCAAACTTGATTAAACTTGCCAAACATCAAGATTATCTGAGATCATTTATCGTTCAATTATAAGAAAAACTAATCCTTGTATATGGCTGCATTGAGGCTGTCAATATACTGTTAACAGTAATCAAAGCTAATCCAAAAGGAAATAAAAGATTAAATAAATTAATTCTAGTATGGTCAACACTTATTCCCATTAAGTAATGTCAGCACTAAGAAATTCTTGAAACTAGCCACTACAGAGATCATAAAGGAGAAGATTAATCAAATTGATTAGGACGTTTACTGTGTGGGTAGTAAGAGAAATAGCAATCTATCCTACAATTTCCCTCTTAGAATAAACTCAGAAGACAGAGTAATGAATTATGGATAGCAATGAAAACTCTTTATATCTGGTTCAAAAACCTTTGTGCTTTCTGTTACAAAAGAGCTGATATTGTGTGACACTAGTGCTAATATTTCATGTGTGTGTGTTACAAACTTGCAAGAGATCTGAAAAGGTTGACAAGTCTACAGTTTCACGCATAAGCAATTTAATTCATGAAATGCCTAATAGAATAAATATAATTAAGTTTATAGTACCTAAAAACCAAATAGATGGTGTATAAGCATCCAAAAGAAAAAAAAAAATAGATATCAAAAGATCTAATAAACTAAAACTTGTCCTGGTAGATGTGTCCTCTATTTGTGATACATAACTATCTGCTGGTATCCAAATGCGGTATCGGTCCAGTGTTTGTTGTTTTGATTTCTTCTTACAAATTTCTTGGGTGTGCAAAGAATATTACCATCTTCCTAAAGTATCTGAATACAATCAATCAATCATGTCACATTTTCCTATCAACCAATCATATCCTAATTTGGAATTGTTGGATGTATATTGTAGGGTATGTGTAAACATTAAACAAATTAATTTTTGTAAAAGATGTACCAGATGTGTTCACAAACAAGCCAACCTTCCCCTTTCCCTTTGCTCCTTTTCCATGGGCAATATTTCAAAGCTACATAGACCAGGTAAAATCCTTGCAGGGAAAAGCAATCTAATGGCTAAATTACTCAAATTTCAACTTTGAGGAGAAAACTTCCCAAGTTCAGATCTGCCATGCAGAGAATACTTAGCACATCTCTATGCATACAACCAGCAATGGACAACTGTGCATCCCATGTTTTATTAGCTCTGACTTGTTTCGCAAAGGACTTAAATCATCCCCTTAACTTTTGCACAAGTCAAGAGCTATACAGATGGGAGGTACAGCCATCTTCACTGATTGGTATTTACTCTATACAGCAATGCGCACAGCAGATTAAAACTCATTTCTGAGGATTGTATTTACCTTTTCATCTAGATAATGGAGCAATAATTTCCTTAATGACATCTAATTAAGAGGTTTCTGAATAAAAGAGGAAAAAAGAACATGAACAAACTTGTTCCTAGACCATTTGATTTTGACATTCTGTGCTGAGTTTAGTACTTTATGAAATATCTTATTCTCTCTGTATTGTATCTCAGTTGGACATAATCGAGATATTTCTAAAGGGATGTGATGCAGTGGAGAACTATTTGAAAGAGGTGAGAACTCTTCAGGAACTTAATAAATTTCCAAGTTCATTTTTCATTGTTGGAATGTATACAATTTCTTTTCCGAGATTATCTTAAGATCTTCAGATGCTACTTTTTTATTTTGCTTGATACATCATCACTTCATTGCTATTTTTTCATCACCTCACTGGTCTTGATCTGGTTTTCGCCAATCAAGGAGCCATTTCTTTAGTTTTCCACAAACTCTAGACAATGCCAATCAGATTGTCCCCAGCTATCAGATAAATGGAATTTTTTAGCCTGCAATGGCAATGTGGGCAACCCTTTCAATGGCAGTATATCAAGGTGATGGATATGTTCTGTAGAATCAAAAAATGTCTATTAGGATGTGGCCATAGATTGTTAGGGATAACTGATCGGTGGAAAAATGCAAACTGATGAGAGAAACCATCAGTTGAACTGTCCACAGAATGATAGATGCAGACATGGAAGAAGTAACCTGGAGGAGCATATTTGCAACAAAGATTTGAGAATTGAACCAGGCATCAAACCAGAAAGCTGTCCTGTTCACGGTTTTCATGCCTTATCCGGGTAGTTTAACTGCATAACCACCAAAACTAATCAAAACTGTTGAACCAGAGAGGTGTTTGGTTCCTGGTTTTCCTAGTTCAACCAAGCCATCCAAGCTGATTCTTAAAGCATTGATTTGCATGGCAGAATTTTTGTTGTCTTGTATTTTTGGATAATTTTAGCTTTTTGTAGTCTTCTATTTAAAATTGCCATATGAGTATCTCTTATTGGTCTAGAGAGTCATAATAGATTAAAGAATATTATTAGCAAATTTTTAGATTTTAGAGAAACTGAAGTTGGAATCTCTTCACTTATCTTTATGCCTATTACTGATGGATCAAAGCTCAAAACTTGGCCGTTTGAGTTGTTATGATGCATATCGAAAAATAAATCAATTCTCTATCAAATGAGACCATGATCTTGTCAATCCCATGTGACTCGGGAAAGTTACAAGCATTTTACATGTGGGTATTAGCTGGTGTTAGCATTTTGGTTATAGTGAAATTAGGTAAGTAGTTAATTCTTTTTTTTTTTTTGGCAAGTCATAAGAAGTATTTAGTTATTCTAGAGTAGAAGCACATCTTGTGTCAAGGGCTGCCACCACCCCCCCCATATTTGTAAATAGAATAATACAGTCGAATATAGGAAAAAAACTATGTATTGAAATCGTTTTTGTTCATACCTCTCTTCATTCAGAAGAAAAATTCATACATCTATTCATTCTCACTAATTTCTATTACTCTCCTCCTCGATGAGACCCTTTTTCTGTTGCATATTCTTCTGGCAATACCAATCCTTTTAATCCCTATTTTGACCCCGTTTTACAATAGTGAAAATGTGAAACTATAAACTGTTACAGAGCTAAGAACACATGAACAGGAGAGAAACAGATGAAATTGATGAATTAATTTCTTTTATAAGAGTTTGAAAGTTTGGTTTTGATTACTCATTACCCCTCACGCGGTTCTCCTTTCAATTCTCTTGGCAGTGCAAGAACCTGGTTTTTCAATACGGGCCTGCAATCATGGACAATGTGAAGCAAGTTCTAGAAACAACAGATATCTGTACTACATTTCATGCCTGTGACCCCTCCGCAACTGGAAGCGAATAAACATCTTCCATGGAGAAAGCATCCTTTGTAACTGAATTTTTAAGTTGTTAATCAGCATGAGAGCGGGAGAACTCCATTGTTGGGATCCTGAGGATGAAGTTATGGATTTGGCCCATTAAGAACAATATATATGAGTTTTGTCACTTAAGCGTTTACAATAAAAATCAAGACCCTACTTGTATGTTTTTACGTTTTTTTACTGTAAATTAATGCTCTCAACATAAAACGCATTTGCCACTTCAATCGCTATAGGGCGGAGTGAAAATGCATTTTTCTGGGTCCTAAAATCTGTGTAAGCACAGAACATATCCTTGTTAAATTTTGTCATTTAGAAGAGAACGATAAAATCATAAAAGCACGGAAAACTATCATACTCGGCCAACCAGAATAAAATCCTAGATTTCCACTGGCAATTGGTGGCACTGAGCGAGGAGAATCCATAGTATATGCAATTCTGTCTGTGTGCAATCCTATCCACAACCAGGAGTTCAAAAGTTTCACACGGGCATTCAAATTCCAGTCCAGTCCAAGTCCTCCCAAAAAAAGAACTTGCCATTTCGCTGAAGGCGTAATTGACATTATGTGCATCATATATTTCTATGTAAGAACTGTTTCTCAAGAAAGCTAAACTGCATGATTATAACCAAAAAAGAAAAAGAAAAAGAAATCTAATAGCCTCGTCAAACAAGGTAACGGGCATTGACACAATAGAAAGAGAAAATTATCATCTTCGGATTCAGACGACCATTTAAATTCCAATAATCCAAAGCCCAAACCATCATCTAGTGTTCAATAGTACTACCACTCTACCAGTCAGATGATATAAAAACTGCGCATTTTTCTTCCATCCTCAAAAAACCCAGAACACCAGTAAAACCTGTGCAATGAACCAATTAAAGCACTTAATACACTTGGAGGAACGTGTCACCCCTTTCAATACGCAGTTTGTAATGAAAATGTTGCCTTCGCACGTTAAAAAGAGGCATAAGGAATTAAATTGACCAGCTCCTAGATGCAGCAGATATAACCATCAAGCAGAACATATATACAAATCTTTGGTAAATGAAGCAGCCCAAAAGACACTTTCTGGTTATGGAGACTAGATCGAGAACCCCAGAAGAGGAAGGAAAATGCACTTCTCCATGCTTCCCATTAATCCAAAAGCTCGTTCCTCATCTTCTCATCTTCCGTTTCATGCCAGTAGGCCCAATACAACCCCCCTCCCCCAAAACAAAACTCCTTAATTTTACGCCAAATCATGACAGATTGACGATCTTAACAAGTGACTCAATCTTCCAATCTACAGATCAACCGAAATATGCAAACCATCACACACATTACACATGATAAAACTGCAAATCAACTTCTTCCAGTTAAATATAAATTAAAACATAAAGTAATTTGAGCAAATTCTAAGTTGACACATCCATGTTAGACATTTCTACCATATGCAATTAAAGCTTAAAGTACATTTTACCACTAAAAACTGATAAGAGTATAAAGCAAATCCTATCAAAGTAAATAGAGATTTCAATGACGCAATAGCCAATCACATAAAGAGTAAAATTGAAGAGGAACATGGCCCATTCCACCTGCTAATATGCAATTATAAGAAAAGATCACACTACAATTGCATTGATCACCTAATACAAAAACCAACTGTGAACAAGAAAGGAAGAGGAACAGAAAATCAACTTTTATCATTAATCCTTTATCATATAACAATCATCAAGTCTGAGAAATATCAACTTTTATCATCTCATCTGGCTCATTGTACTTCTTGAGGATGCTATTTTCTGCTCTTTTTTTCAGAGCGCTTTGAGCCCCTACCAGCCCGAGAGTCATCTGAGCTGCTGATATCAGAATCAGATGGTGACGCTGCCCTCCTATTCTTCCTCTTGCGTCCTCCATCAGATTCAGATTCTTCAGACCCAGATGAATCATAAGAGTGTCGATGACTTCTCCTCCTCCTCTTCTCCTTCCTGCTCTTCCTATGATGGCGGTGATGACCTTCATCCTCATCTGAAGATGCATTTCTCCTACTCTTCTTATCCTTCCTTCTCTTCCTATGACCTTCATCTTCATCTGAATCAGAGCTGTCCCTCTTCCTGCTGCTCCTCTTCTTTGATCTACCTCTCTTCCTCCTTTCTCTAGAATCAGACCTGCCTTCGTCTGAGGATTCCTTCTTTTTACTTGATGACCTAACCTTACCACCCTTCTTCCCATTCCGTGCAGAAATGATCCTCTCAATTTCTGGATCCACATCCGAATCCGAACTCTCACTGTCATCCTCCTCTTCAGAGCTTTCTTCAGAACTGTCCACAACAGCTTTATTATCCATCTTCCCTCCATTAGTTTTCAATTTATCCAAACCCGAGGCAACAGTGGTCTGAAGAGCAGTTGGGTCTTTATCCTTGGAATCTTCTTTAACACTGAGAAAGTTTCTGCATTGGATTGTAAGGTGTCCAACACGGCCGCACTTCTTGCAGGCCCCTCGGGCCTCATCAGCATTGGTGCCGGTGATGCGGGCAAGAGCAAGGAGTCCTTGGAAGCTAGCATAGGCGTTCTCAGGTTCAGCGCTCGACGATTTTTGCTGCGACGACTGGTTAGAGTCATCCTTGTTTGGAGCATAAGGGTCATACCCAATTGCGCTCTGCCATATGCCGTGGGTTTGGAGGGCTGCACTACTGTGCACCCGATTGTTCGCGGGCATGCGAACCCTACCTGCTGTGGCCGGCATTTTGAAATTTCAAGAGCAACGCTGGAGACAGAATGCGAGACAGAAAGGTCAGAGTTTACGCTTCCACGCCCGAGAGCCCTTATTTTGAGTTGGAGAAACTAGGGTTTAGTTTTAGGTTTCGGGTAAGCCCTTATCTTCCCTGGAATCAAGACTCCTATTCCCGAAAAATAAAAGAAATTTATATGAAACAGAGTTCAATTAGGGTTCATATTTCAGGTTACAGTAAGCCCTTATCTTCACTACAACGAACAAAAACCCTAATTCTCTGAAACAAAACCAATTTATGCAACACAAGAAAATTATCAGAAAGAAACTGTCGATCCTTTTTTCTACTAATAAAAAAATCGAGGAAGAAGCCGTAAGAATCGGAATTCTTCAAGAGAACTAATTAGCTCACCTTCAAATTCGGAAGATCAAAACGACACAGTGATGATATAGATATAGGATCCTCCTCTTCCCTCAACTTGCTCGTTCCTTGAGTCGATCCACCTCGAAATGACCAAAGTAATCTTTCTAATCCTCCTCAGAAAAATAAAGACAAAATAAAATCGATGAGGAGGAAGGAGGAGAATAAAAAAGCAGAAGCTTGGCGGTGGCAATGACGAGCAGGAGAAAAAACTCCGAAGCCGTTAACGCTAAATTTTCTATATTTTATTACTTTTCTCTATTTTTAGAGCAATGCCAGTATCACGAGCTTCTACGTCACGAAACTTCAAAATACAAAGAGTAAAGACAGTTTTTTATTTCAAAATTCAATTGGAAAAATTCCGATTAGTACCATGTATTTTGGGTGTAGTGCCACTTGGTCCCCAAATTTTAAAATGCAATAATTCAGTATTCAATTTTTTAAAATATGACAATCCAGTATTTGTTATTAATTAGTCGTTAATGAGTCATTAAGTGGTATTTGAAAAAGACAAATTCCTTTCAAGTGTTATTTAATTTTCTTTATCAACCATCTAAATGTTGACAAAAAATTAACAATCACAAATCTTTGCCTTTTTCCATTCAAAAAAGTTGGCGTCACGTTTGAGTGGACATTTTGGTGACCCCAACTTTCTTGAATAGAAGAGGCAAGGATTTGAGATTGTTAATTTTTTGTCAATGTTTGGATGGTTGATAAAGAAAATTAGATGACACTCGAAGGGTATTTGTGTTTTCTTCAAATGTTACTTAACAGTTGGTTAACAACGAGTTAACAACAGGTACTAGATTGTCATGTTTTGAAAGTTCATGTACTGAATTGTCGCATTTTAAAGTTTGGGGACCAAAGTGGCACTATGCCCAAAGTATAGGATACTAATCAGAATTTTCCCAATTCAAATTCATGGGGTTAGTGTAGAGGTGTACGGGCCGTCCTACGTTGTGCTGCCCTCCCTAGGGATAATTTGAGGGGTTGGCCCAGCATGGCCCACGGCCCAAGCCTATGCGAGACCGTGTCGTGCCGCAGGCCTAGGTCGGGCGGGCCTGGGCCATGCTAGGCTAGGTCGCAAGTCGGGCCTTGGGCGTGAGCCGAATCGGGCTAGACTGGTTTTTTTGTTTTTTTATATTTTTATTTTTTTATTTATTTGCTAAATAAAACTAAAATATTTAACTTTCCTTTGGGAACTATTTTGAAAAAATAAGAAATCTAACAAAGAAATGAAAAAAAAAACACTTAACTAAATAAGAAGTCAAAGAGATAAAGACTCAAAGTGAATAACAAATTGGAAGAAAAATAGGAATTTTATTTCATTTAAATTTGAAGGATACAAAGCATATAATGGTTGGATGAATGAAATATGAAAATTAGAAAATGGAATAAATTAATAAAATATAAAAAAATACAGTATTGTTACAAATTGAAAATAAAAAATTACGTTATTAAAAATATCAACTAAATTAAATAAAATTAAAACAAAATGTACAGTATTTTGAAAAAATGCTATACAACTATTGAATATACAAAAGATATTGACTTCATCAACTTTTCCTATTGTTCTTGACTTTGATCATCTGCTTCAGGTGAAACATCAGGTGTATTGCCATGCCCTCATTTGTCTTGTAATCTATCTTCAGTATCCAGTCAATTTTTAACAAGGTTCTAGATACCATTATGCCCGGTACGTTGATAGGGGTGTATCGAGCAGTATCGATAGAACCAATCAGAACCCCGAGACACCTTCTGTAGGGGCATATTGGGGTGCTCCCGATATGATACGTATCGGCCGATACAGGCCGATATGTGTCGATATTTTGAATAACAATCTTTAAAATAAATGCACATCTCTAGACTTTTATCATTCATACAACTTCTCTTGTCGTCCAACACCCTAGTACTTGCACTAAAACAAGACTAATGGAACTGTAGACACCGAAGGGATTAGTAGATCATGTGCCATGGTGGCAAGAACTGGACAATTTTTTGCATGTTCAATCCACCAAGCTAAAATATCAAAATTATTTGTTCCCTCCGAGGTGAAGGAAGAATTACCTAAAGTAGAAAATTTTGCTTGTAAAAAAAATTAAGTTCAGTAAATAAACTTGTTGCCAAGGTAGTGGATTTCTACGTTTTACTTATTAAATAAAAAAAGTTTTTTTATCTTCCACTACTGGACTCAAGTTCAGAAGTGGAAGATGAAGCTATATAAGTTATAGAATTTTTATTATTCCCCATTAATTTAAATTCATATAAATTATTAATTCTTCCTTTTTATTTCCAATTTCAATATTCATATTTTCACAATATGTTTCAAGTAAAATATCTAAACCATCTTTCCTAATCCTAGGATCAATATTGTATCTAAGCAATAAAGAGGAGAAATATTCTCCCAATATTTTTTAAATTTATTTTCCATTATTTCAATAATACTTTTAAATTGTGGATTCTTTTTATATTTTGCAAAACAATCACTAATCATCATTAATTGATAAGTTAAATTACAACTAGTTGGATAATAAATACTCGATAATTAATTAGTTACATTATAAAAATGTTTAAAAAATTCCCTTATACAAATTGCCATTTCCAATCTTCCTCAAATATAATATCAATAGGCATTTTTGCATTATAAAAATCACTAAGAATTTGTTTGTGAGAAATACAACTTTCTAACATAGCATAAGTAGAATTCCATATATGTTTAACATCTAATATAAAATGTTATATTTTAAACCATAATTTTGACATAAATATATAAATTCTTGTTTTCTTGCTCCAAAACTTTTAATATATATAATACAATTTTTAATTTTAGAAATATGAGTAGAAACAATATTTAAAGCATCCCGATTCATAAATTTAAGATGTAACATGCACATCTGATATGAAATAATTTACCATTTAAACATGGTTTTAATTGAGATTTTAAAATTTTTATTGTTGAATCATTATTACTAGAATCATCAAAACTAATAGAAAATAATTTATTGTCAATTCCATAAGCATGTAAAGTATTTTAAATACTTGTGGAAATAATTGGGCCATTATGTGGTCATTCAATCCTAGTAAAACTTAAAATTCTTCTATTTAAAAACCAATTTTCATCAATAAAATGACCGGTAACACAAATATAACTTATGTTAAATTTAGAAGTCCAAATATCAGAAGTAATTGCAACTTTAGAATTAATATTTGATAACATATAAATTAAATTTTGTTTATGAATAAAAATTTTTTAAAGCATTTGATCTAATAGTATTCCTATAAACTTTTTTAAATTGTGGATTTATAGAATTACGTAACCATTTTTCAAGTTTAGTATCTTCAGCTAACAAAAATGGTTGTTCAGCATGTACAATGTATTTTGTTAATTCTTGCCTTATTTTTTCTTGAGAATATTTAAAAGTACCACCCCCCCCTAATTTGTGTTTGTGTTTGTGTTTGGGTGAGCAAATGTCTACCCAAATGGTCAGTACCACCCTTGCTACAATAGTTAAAGTCTTTCATACATTTTTGGCAAACAACTCTTTTTCCCTTCCCTTAAACCTCCTCTACTTTAAATATTTTCCAAATGGCCAGATCTTTTTCTTTCCCCAGTATCAATACTAGGGATGGAAGTTCCATCAATATCAATAGCATCTATATTGGTTCTAACACTACCATGTTGCGATTGAATATTGTCGACACTGAACATGTTGGGGAATTGGTTTCGTGAGGAGAAAAATAAAAATTAATTTAATTGCACTTACTCAGATTGTCGGTTCAGAATCCCAACTTGATTTTAATTTTCAACGGTTGAAACCTTTTAACTCCAAGAGTCCAAGCCTCCCAAATTACTAACTTGAGATACTTGAACTGTTAAGCAAGCCTTCTTATTAAAAGTTCAATAAAGTTAAGAATTGGAGAATCAGAGAATGTATGAGAGATTGAGACTTGAGAGAGTATAAGAATTAGAGAAGAGATTAAGAGAATTGTTAAATTAGTGTGATGAGAATGGTGGAGGATAGGGCTATTTATAGGAATTGAAAATAATTCAATTGCCCAAAATACCCTAAAGACTAGATGTTTCTTAGTTGTTGGGAAGGGTATTTTGGTCATTGTAGATTTATTTATCACTTTACCCAAAATCCCCCCCCCCAAACTAGCTGTTATATAGTTATTGGGGGCATTTGTATCATTCTTTCTCCCCTCCAAAACAAAAATACATAAATACCCCTCCTATATAGTTATTGGGGGTATTTCTATAAAAAAAAAACCCAAAAAGCTAAAACTAGCCATTGGGGACCCCCCAAACGACTAGTTTATCGACTAGGCTAAGCATGGCCCACTACGGGCTTGGGGGCCTTGTTGGGTCGTGATGGGCCATGCCGAAGGCTGGGCCATGTTGGCCCATGGACTTGGAACCCTAAGCCCAACACAAGCCGGACCATCGTGTCAGGCCTAGCATAGCCCGCGTGCCATGCTGTAACAAGCTATGGGCGGCACAACCCGATTTACACTTCTAGGTTAGTGGAAGGAATTGGGATTTGCTCCTCACTTAGCGCACCTCACACTGACTTCACAACGACATCCCACCTTATATTGGGAACATCTCCCCATCTCCCATGAATAATAAATACAAATACATAAGATGTTCCTAATGTGTGGCCAAGACATGCTGTGAGGTAGGTGTAAGGTGTGGTTAGTAAGGAGCAGATATGGACTTTTTTTTTGGTATTCAGTGCTATGCATCATTAATAACTTCCCCCTATCCCCTCAATTGGTGCATATCTGGACTCGGGGTTAGTGGAAGTTGTTTGAATTAATGTGTGGCAGCAACCTGTTGCGAGGTGGGTCTGAGGAGTATATACCGATTCGGATGTTATTTGTTCTTCCTTTTATGTTATTGTCTAAATCTGCTGGCCACAAATGCCAGCAATATCTAGAACATTTCTCATCTAATATTTCTAAAATATTTCTCTCCATCTCCCATAAATAATAAATACAAGTACATAAGATGTTCCTAATGTGTGGCCAAGATATGCTGTGAGGTAGGTGTGATGCACTCAGTAAGGAACAGATCCGAATGCTATGCATCATTATACAGATCCGGACTCGGGGTTAGTGGAAGTTGTTTGAATTAATGTGAGGCAGCAACCTGTTGTGAGGTGGGTCTGAGGAGTATATGCGGATTCGGATGTTACCTTAATTTGTTTTTCCTTTATATTATTGTCCGGATCTGCTGGCCACAAATGCGAGCAATATCTAGAACATTTCTCATCTAATATATCTATATTAATAGGATTGGTTGATTCGTGGTTTTGAGAAAATGGTATCCGCACGTATGATGAGTGATCATACGTGCAACGGTATCCCATTCTCTGTTTATTGTAGATTGTTAATGACAACATGTAAAAGCTAAAATAACATTTTTTAAATGCATAATTTACACGTGTCTATACTTCTCTGTTCCCTCCTCTCGAGCTATTTCTCCTCTCTTAGACTCTTTCCACTCTTTGATTGTTAACGACAGCACGTAAAGGCAATTCGAGTGAGAAATGAAATTTTTTTAACTGCATAATTTACACATGTTCATACTTCTTTGTTCCCTCTTCTCGAGCTACTTCTCTTTTTCCTCTCTCTATTTTCTCTGGCTGTCTTTCCAGCTCGCTGCCTCCCTCCATTTCTCTCCCTCTCCCTCTTTCTCTTTTCTCCCTCTTCCCTCTCTCGATTAGGTGTGGCTAGGGTTTCAATTGGGTTTTGGTAGAATTTTAGTTGGGCCTTGTCTTGGTTCAATTGCTTAAGGTTTTTGGTTGGGCTTGGTGGTGTTAGCATTTCGATTGGGCGGTTGGTTTGGGTTTTATGTGGTAGCGCTAGGGTTTTGGTAAGGGGATTGATTGGGGTTTTCTTCTCAGTTTTGTTTGTTATTCTCTATTCTAAATTCTATTTTTTTGGTGGTTTCCTTTTCTTTGGAATGCATACTCTCATTCTTCTCTTTGCTCTTCTCAGATTTGTTAGTTCTTTTCTGTTATGGGTTCTGTTTTTTTTGTTGTTTTCTTGTCTTTTTGTTGCTTGGTAGGTGTTGTTTGCGTTTCTTTTCCGATGGTAGTTTCCTGTGTTCATGGAGGTTGTAGTGGCTTCGTTATTCGGCGGAGATGGCTTTGTGTTTAGTGCATGGTTAGGGTTTTCAGTTCGTCTGTTAGTTGTTCTGTTATTGGCAATATGGTTATTGTGGTTCATGGTGTTGATAGTGACATGTAGAGAGAGAGAGAGAGAGAGGGAAAACCAAGGTCATGAAAGCATGGAATCTCATGAGTATGGGAACATCACTGGGTAAAGTTTCTTCTCATCTTAGTTCTTCTCTGAATTGGCAAGGTAGCACCAACGAGAGATTCAAGGCTATGAAGTAGGATTATCTCCAACTTCCAGTTCAGGGATATGCAGTAAGGTTTTTGAAATATAAGAACTCCCTCAACCATTCGTTCCAAGCTGAAGCACCAGTGACTTCTGATAGGATATCTGATTTGGATATTCAGGAAATGTCATGGGAAGATAAGTTTTCAAAAGTATGGGACAAGGTTTTTTAACAATTTTTTTTTTATTATATATTGAAGCCTATAGTGGTTGTTATTGGATTCTCTCTATTTATGTGTATTCTACATTTTCTTCCTTTTTGCCTGTCTGCTATTATATGGTGGCTGCATGCGGACCATTATAATTTGAGCTTTTCTCTTTGTAGGAAAACGTTTTCCATACAGTTCCTCCTAGTGCAGTGGAGAACTGCAGAAAATTTGTTGAGTCTTACTATGAGATATGCTTGCCAATATGTTCTCTACATATATTTTCCGTTTACTGGAAAAGTAACTTTTTTCTACATGTTTTTTTTTTTTTCACAAATATATATTGGCTATAAAAGCTGAAAAGAAAGAGAATAAAATTCACACACATACACGAAGCATTCATTCAACTATAGGAATATTGAGATGGAAGTTAATCTCAGAATAAAATTCGCACACATACTTTGCTGATGCATTGAGTTGACAAAGAGTGCAAAGAAAGCAATTTTTTTTTGGTAATCTCTTTCTATGATTGTTTCTAAATATGTAAATGAAGAAACATATAATGAGCTAGGTAGTGGGGATGGTCCAAATGTTCTTTTTAGGGGTTCTAGGAACACATTTGACAAGTGTTCCCTTGAGGATAGTTTCAGTTGTTGAAGACATTGTTCCACAAACAATTGGTTGGTTCACAAGATGAATAGCATGTGTTTTGGGGAATTATATGCTTAATGACTTTGTAAGATGGGTCTGTTTTTATACATTTAAAATTTGTATTTATTTTATTTATTTGTAATATATATATCTCTTTCGTATATTAGTTGGTTCATTCCGGCAAAGACCAGGATTTGAATCCCACTGTACTTTTATTTTTCTTCCTTATAGTTAACTGTCCCATTTACTCGGCATTACTCGCCCGTGCTGAGCATGGACGCCCCTCGCTAGTTATCCTAGTAATCGGATCGCCTACTACCAAAATACAAGTGATCGGATTGGCTGCTCACTTGGCGCACTCCACAGCCCATCCCCTCCGTGCACGGAGAACATCTTCCGTGCTTATCATGGGGAGATACTCCCAATGCACGGATGAGATGGGCTCTAGAGCGCCTGTTGAGCGTGCTCAGTGGACAGCTGATCCCATGATGTTCCACGGAATGGCAATACCTGGCCTCTTGACCTTGGAGACCGGATCTGCTTCTTACACACGGGTGCCTTACAGGAACATCCACTGTGTATTGGGGACATCTCCCGTGAATAATTACTTATAAGTAGTAGGGGAGATGTTTCCAATGCATATTAGAATGTGCGTATGAGATCAGTGTGAATCGCCATGTGTGAGGAGCAGATCCGGTCTCATTGCGTTGGCACTTGAGAGAAGAGGAATTGAGGATAGGAATTATTAATAGGGATCTTCAATCGGGGACGGGGATGTGGAGTTAAGTTCTTATCCCGCTTCAATCCTGGTTATATAATATTATTTATATATATATATATATTTTAAGTAAATTTATTTTTTGAAAATATTAATTAAAAAACTTTGGAGATTTGAGTCCCTGGTGAGGAATGAGATGGGCTTCGATTAGTACAATGCCCGTTCGAACAGCCTTTACAGCTTTGCATTAGGAATATCTCATACTTATATGCATTATTTGATGGGGAGATATTCCCAATGCAAGGCTGCAAGAGGCTCTATGTATATTTTTTATTTTTTATATGTATAATAATAAATGATTTTTATAATTCTTAATTTTTTGTATGTAAAATAAAAAATATTTTCATATGTATACTTTTATTATTTAGAAAAAAAATTGGTTTGTAGTTGAACTCAAGATGAGACAAACTCAAACTTGCGAACTTTGAACCGAGCCGAGCTTGAGCTCAAATCTCTAGCTTGAGCCGAGCTCGAATAGCTAAGTATTCAGCTCGACTTGGCTCGAATTTGTTTTCATTAGAGATTAAGGATGGAGGGTAACTTCTATATATCATTGACTAGTATTGGGGTCAAGGACAAGGACTTGTTTTAAAGTTAAGGTTAGGAATGGGGAATATGGTCTCCACCCCAATGCCATTCTTATGCTCCGGTTAGTGTCTTGTGAGTTGTGACCAAGACGTAGTCAGCAGATCCCAATTCGATTAAAAGTGAGTGAGAAAAAACAATGTTTTCGAACCTCTGTTGACTTGGACAGTCATACTGTCCGGTATAGGAACTGTCCAAACAACCATTTCCGCTTTACTTTAAACCCGGTCTTTGGCCAAAAATCATTGAATTGATCAACAATCTGTTGACTTGAACAATCGAATCGTTGATCCGTTCGATAGCTTTTGACTGTTTTTTATTTTAATTTAATTTTATTTTTTTGTTAAAATGGGCAATCCGTTCAAGCCAGATGATCAAACTGTTGACCTAGAAACCGATGACTAAGACGGTCCTGGTTCTGGATCAGTTTTTAAAAAATTGATAAAAAAAAGCATGATCTATCGAGGGCATCAATCGCTAAAGTCTAATTTAAGGATGGTTTGATGTGGATATTACAGATCACATAAGGGTTGGAGCAAATGTAGCAAAGAGTTGACCTCACCTATGAACCTGACCCAACCCAACCCAAAAAAAGCAGGTTAGGGTCCTCCTATCTAGTGACCAAAGGTAGAAGCGGCCGAACCCAACCCAAAGAGATTTTAGGTTGTCATTTTCAAATCGATGTTAGTTTCGAACAATTAAACTATTTAAATCATTCGAGTCAGATGGTTAAATTAATCCATATTTTTGATAATTGATTTGGACAAAGACTAGTTGCCCCAAGCCATTGAACCATTGACTCATTTGACCCATGGAATCAATCCTAACATGAATGTTTAGGGTTGGAGTTTAGCCTTTGCTAACCTAACTTAAAAGTTTACCTAACTTTGAATGACCCGAAAATGCCTTAGCCTAACCCAACCTCGACCAAACCCAACCCGATTGCCAAATCTAGGCTGGACCCATCAGGCTTTAAGCCTAATCAAGACCCAATTAGTTCTCTTTGATGCAGCCAAATTAAGTCCTTACTTTTTAGGTGACAAGATCACCTACAAGCAAAAACTCTACTAACATGGTGAAACTAGAGGCATCCAATCATACATTGGAAGCATCTCCCTGTCAATTTAACATACATGGATGTAGGGATGTCAATGGATCAGTTTTGGATTGGACACTATACAAATCAAACTCAATTTGGATGGATTAGACAGACCAATAAAACATTGAATTGAACCTGCCCAGACTTAATGGTCCAAAAATAATTTATTGGATTGGATTGGACCTGGTTAGTCCCTAATGAATTATTTATATTAGATTGGGTCAGATTAAATGAATACCCAGCCTATAGAAGATAAGAATACATGTGTCAATGGACTAGACTTGGATTAGAACCAATCTAGATTAAAACCACTCTCAATAGAATGCACAGTCCAGACATTGACTTAGATTGGTCCAAAATAGTCCAGAGTATTCACCGGATTGGATTGGACCTATCCATCTATAATGGACTCATTTGGACCGGATTGGATTGGACCAAATCCGGTCCAATTGACCCTTTATAGTTTATATGCATGGAAGATATTCCCAATGTGTGGTTGGACGCAATGTATTTAAAGTTTTTGCTTACAAGGGATCCATGCTTGCTTCCAAGTGTCTTTTAACTAACGACCCCAAATTAAGTATGGGGCTATATTAAAAATGGATCCCACATCATTTATTATTTCATTTGGGATTCAATACTTTATGTTTTTTACTTAATTTTAAAAATTAGATCAAGTTTTACTTGTAATTGACAAGTTATTTCATCCAAAAATGACTCTTTTATTTAAACTAGAAAATTAAGGTTGTGTTTGGTTTGAAGGAAAGGAAGGGAAAATTTGAAATATTTCAGAATATTCCAAATCTTCCCTTGTTTGGTTTGATAATAAATGAGGAGATTTAAAATCATGAAAATGAGGAAAAGGGATCCTTCCATTTCGGTCGGAAACCGCTTCCCTCGAAAATGAAAGTAAAAAGGAGGGAAAAAAAATTGAGAGCCTCTCCTTCGACTGAGAGTTTCCTGCTTTATAAAAATAACGGTGAATCCTGTATATAGTCGATTTGTTTCATTTGATCCAGTGAAAGCTTATACCAGAAGTGAAAAGTAGAGGTAAATTGCAGTCAATCTCTTCTTCTTCTTCTTCTTCTTCTGTATGTTTCATCTGATTCGAATCTGAATCTCTCTTATTCTTCATCTGATTTCTGTTTTTTTTCTTTTGAAAATGGATAAATGTGATTTCGGCTAGCTTGAGTAGCTCCCATGTTAATAATTTGCTTTTAAATAGCCTTTTTACTTCATGCCATTCCACAGTTTTCGTTGTTGCCTCACCTAGAGGGTTCTTGGTACTTTTTTTTCCTAGTCTTGCATTCATTTTAAACAATCTCATGTGAACCCCACCTATTGAAACGGGAGGGGGATGCCTAATCCCTTCCCTCTTCTATCTAAGTCTTATCCGAATGGGTCAGACTATTACCTAAGTTTGGAGTCACTATTTGGACCAAAATGGTATTATGTATAAATAACCCGGGAGGCCCATCACTCCCAATTCAGTCCCAATGATGGATGACAACTTAAAACAGCCCAAATGAACCATTTTCCGACATTTACAATAAGCATTAAAAAAGGATAATTTGAGTATTTAGAAAGCTTTAAACAGTCAAATAAAAATCTTTTTCGAAGTCATTTGACAGAATCCTAACGGAAGTCTTTATCTAACAGCCGAAGCATAGGGGGGTCTTTGTAAAAAAAAAAAGTGCATGGGGTCTTTGTCACAGACCCCATAATACAGGGGTCCGTGTAATTTACCCTTAAAAAATGAACTGAACAATTTTTAACAAAATCTCTCTTTATACATATATTGAACCCCAATTTCAAATCAACTTGTCCAATGGAGTTCTCAGTGGATAAGAGTTGGTCCCTTTATTCCACTCAGAATCAACCCAGACCCCACGTCCCCACCAATCCACCCTCTCATTGGCAGTTCTAACTTCTACCACTATCCACAACGCTGCTCATATCCATATGGATATGGTATGGAATCCTCTGGAATTGCACACGGAAACCGAACTCAAAAAAAAAAATAAAACAATTACGTTTCGTCCACTGGCCCAAAAATCCATATGAAGATAGACTTTGTAGCTCACATTAATATTGAAATAGTGAAGAATTTTAAATGCTTTAGCTGTGTCATGAGCTGTGGAATCAATAATAAGATCCCACACATCAGTAATAAAATACATAGGGCACATAATAAGGGGTCGAATAGTTGTAGGTCCCATATATTTTATGACTTATAATTGGTACAGCCTGTTGAACAGCTAGCAATTGTATTCAGTTAATCACATTTCAGTATTGAAGGCCTTGCATGGTCATTGGACAAATTAAACCTTAAGGCTGTGTTTGGTTTGAACGAAAAAGTAGAGAAAGGAAGAGAAATATAGAAAAATCTATGCAATATTTGTAAGGTTTCGTTTGGTTTGTGAGATGGGGATGCAAAAATATTCCTTTTTCTCTTATTTGTTTTGAGGGAAATAGGGGGTTGGGAAGAGAAAAACATGGGAAGCGGGATCCCAAAATCATGTAATCGGGATCGCACCAAAACAGTGCGACCCCGGTGTACGAAAATATTTTGGGCCTTTTCAAACAGAGAGGCTCAAGAGACTCTTCTTCAACCTCTACCTATCCCAACGGTCGGATCTCTGATGAATTTTTTGGCCATTTCCTTCAAAGTTAAAGACCAGATCCATGGCTCAAGAGAGTTCCCAAATAACTAGAGCTGTGAAATGGTTCAGTAGGATAAGGGCTTTGGAGCTTTGCTGAGGGAGAAAAGGTTGAATCTATGATACCGCCGAAGATGGAGGTATTTCAAGGATCTTATTTCTGGCAACCAGCCCCAATGAATCCGTGATTACCCCAGATGATGGTGACCAATCTCAACGGGTCTTATTTCAGGGAAGCGCAGGAGGGATAGTTACGGTGGTGGCAAAGGTAGATGCATTGGTGGATATGACTTTGGAAGTGGTTATGGTGGTGCAAGCAGTGGTGGGTATGGTGGCAAGAGTATGGTTTTAACGGGGGTGGTAGTAAAAGCTAAAACGGTGGAGGCAGCAATGGTGGAAGAAGGTATGGTGAAGGCAGAGAAATGATGGCAATGACCATGATGAGGTCCAGTCTTCAAGCAGCATTTCGCAGCAGTGGACACAACAAGTGGAGCTTCGCTTCCTCTGCTCATCACGGTGACGCCTATGAGACGGAAAAAATGGGAACGCAGGGGTGGACTCTATTTTGTATTGATACTTTTCCTACTATTTTCTCATGTAAAACCAAACAATAGAAAGCTAAATTTTTATATCTTCCCATCCCATTCCACCTTTCCCTACTTTTTCCTTTAAACCAAAGATAGCCTAAGTGTAAAATAATAATCACAACTAAAGCATAAAAGTAATTGGTACATACAGAACCATAACCTTCCAAATGAAGGGGAAGCCTACTATATATGATATTTAGAATCATTCATCACGTACTTGTTTATATATATATGGCATCCATGTACTTAAACAAGAGGAGGAAGACGAAGACATTCTTGGTAGTTTACTCTTCTCCAATGCAATATAAAAAGCATTCTCTTCCTCTTAATCCAAAGTTCCTCCTTGGTGAATGAGTCCACTGCCTATTCATCCATTATCAGTTGGTGAGCTATAAGCCCTAGATTCCCTCTTCTAGATCTTGCCCTTCTTATGTAATGCAACTTGTTTAACCTGTAGTTGGGACTAATTTGGACTGAAGTGATGGTGGCGGTGGTCCTTATTAACCTAACATGCTAACATTGGCAGTGGCCTCTCATGTATGCATGCGAAGCATGTATTTTGCTAGAAAACTGAAAGAATGGAAACAATGGCAAACAAAGCAAGGCTAGCTGTTAGCTGTACCAATTCACTGGTGTTGGGGATGATGCATTATGCATACACACCCCCATACATACATATTCATGCATGAAGACTTGAATGCAAATTAGAGGAAGGGGAGATGGCCATGATTCAAAGCAGGCATAAGACTGAGGCCCCCACTTAAATTGAATGATTAAAGCGGGGGAAATAGGAGAAAGCTCTTCCCTCTCTTTTCATTTTGTAGACCATATAAAGTCCTTAAAGCTTTCAAGCCAGATGGGGGAAGGGTTGGCCCCCTTCTCCTTTATCTTTGCATAATGCGAGACAGCTTTCCTCACCATGTCATCATATCATATACCCCCATGAGAGTAGTCCTATCTCCCCCATCCATCACCATCGTCTCTACACCTTTCTTCTTCTGTGTCAAGAAATAGAGACTTCATCATCAGGAGACTATGGACCGCCCTGTAGATGCATAGCAACAGGATCAACTGAAAACGGCTCCTGGAGTTCATCAGACGACATTATCTGACGACATTGATGGAGCTTCTGACATATAACATATGCGAAACTTACATACAATACACAAATAAATTAATAGAAGGAAAGGCGATCGATAATCTTGACATATCTTGATTTCAGAGTGAGATCCCACCCTGGTCCCTCAAGTATAATCAATACATTTAATTAATAAAAGAAAGATGTGTAAAATGCACAACAAGTCATTAGTTGGTAAAGAATACGGCTACAAATTCCGAAGAACTTCAAAGTTTTGTGCAAGCTCACTCGCTGCTCGAGGTTGGGTGGTCTGTACTCTTGATATGTGGCCACGTGTACTGAATGCTATAAAATCTTTGATTATCCAGATAATAAAAGAAAAGCATATTGAATCAGAGGGGCTGGATCATTTTGGAGACACCCAGAAGGCCCCCATTTCCATTTGATGGATGAAGTGATAACATGTATAAAATTTGAAACTCATCGTGACACTCTTGTCGATCAAATTAAAAATCAGAAAACAGAGAAGGTTTCAGTAATGCACTGAATCCAGCCATACCCTTCACGACGAGCAAAACCACATTACTACCGTCGCCTTTAAACATTAAAGATGGAGGTCCCTGGCCTGGCTTGTCAAGCGCATAGATGCTGCAAATGAGCTGTTAGACACACTCAAACGTGGAAAGGGAAAAGAAAAGGAAAGACCAAAAGAAAAAAAAAAAATCTGATATAATTAACTGTTCATCAACATGAAGTACTCTCTCTCTCTCTATCCACCATACAGACTCCAATTAATACCAAGAAGAAAAATTAATTAAAGAACACAAAAAATAAACCTATCCCCCACCGCTCCATGAAAGAAAGAAAATGGGATGAAATTTCTTGAAGGAAAAAGTGAAGAAATAAGAAGAAGAAAAGATATACAGGGAAAGAAGAATCCTTAGTGAGCCATGGCAACCTGAGGCGGGTAATTGATGCTCCTCTGCTTCGGTAATGCAAGCATAGCAGTGTGATCCAAGAAATCTTGAAGTGCAACTACCGCCTCTATAATTGTTCTGAGATCATCTGCACATGAGAACCCTGTGCTACCCACTTGTCGCACTGCGTATACATAGAAGGTAATGCATCCTTTTCTAAACTTGAACCGAGCCATCTCACACCCAGCAAGGCCCCTTATCAGCTTCCGGTTCACTTCTCCGAGGGGAATCTCAGGCGGCCAAATACGGTCAACCCCGGATTTCAGGCTCACGGATTCAAAAACAAAGACTATTACTTTAGACTTCTTTGTACCGAGGCCAAGCGTGAGGGTGTGCCACGCATGGTGTGCTAAGATGGTGAAGTTGGTAGGCAAAAAGGCTGTGGTTGACGGAAAGGAGTGGCTGGTGCTGATGGGCTTGCTGTGATTGTGGTTGCGCTGGTGGTTCTGGTAGTACTGGTTGGGCGGTGGGAGAGCAAGGAGGCGCAGGAGCTCAAGAGGTGAGGCCCGTCGGACAGTGAAGGATTTGACGATGAATTGACCGCCAAAACGGAGTCCTTTGACGTCGGAGCTCGGCTTGAAAGCAGGCTCCGACGAGGATTTGTTTGAGTGTTTCTGTTTCTGTTTCTTTTTCTCTTTCTCTTCCATGCTGGGTAGTTGACGTTTCTACTTTCTAATTTCTATGAAATAGCATGTCGGGTAGCCATGGATGTCTTTGTTTTGTTTGATGACACACCAACTAAGGCTTTTGGTGATATATTATTTGGTGGGTGCATGCTGTTTCTCTCCTTTGTAATGAGAAGTTATGGTCAAAGGTAAGGCTAATCTACTTTATGTGGATTTGTTTTCTACTTTTCTTTATTCATTTTCTTTGGCATTGGTGATGGATAGTCTGGTATGGGTGCTGCTGTTTTGTTGATCAAAGATCTGGGTTTTTGTGTTCTACTTATTTGTTTGTTCTGTATGTTCTTTCTGTCATTAAAACTAAGATTTGAAAAGTTGAAATAACTTAATTTAGTCAGCTGGCATTCTTTTACCAAAAAGAAAGTGTAGTCTGGCATTCTTGAGTACCAGTGTATTTTAATAAAATACCTGTACCTTATATACTTTAAAGAACATATGTATTAAACCCTAGGTGCTAATTGGAATTTGGAAGTCCTCATAATACTTTGTTTTTTTTTTTTTTTTTAATTTAAGCACTAAATCATAGTGATCAGTATAGCAGAAGGGGGGCGGGGGGGTTCAGAATTTTAAGGACAAGCGATGAAAAATGCTACATACAACCATATTAAATACAAAATTACTTTGCAAAATTGTAACATAAACATGCAAAACGAAATATTAATTATTATATTATTAATAAATTAGGCAATGTTATTTGATGCACTATTTTCTTAAGGCTCCATTTGTTTGAATTGATTTAATTTGCATTAAATACAAATGTATAGCAGAGTACTGTACATTCTAGTTACTTTTGCTTGGGGCTTTACTTTTACTTTGCTTCAAGTTACATTTTACTTCATTTACAATGCAAACAAACAGCACAAAACTTAAAATAATAATAAGTCAAAATTTGCAGTCAATTCATTTGCATTCTCATATATACTTCAATTTTGCACCAATGCAAATGAAATTGCATTGAAAACAATGTAGGCCTGAACAAAAATATTGAGAATCAATAATTAATTGTACTGCTAAATTGGACGAGCAAAGTTATCCATAAAAGGCTGTGTTTGGTTGCAATGCAATTTTATTTGCATTAGTACAAATGCATAGAACTGCAAATGAAAAAAATGCAAATTCTCATTTAATTTTGCTTTTTGGGTTTTACTTTATTCTGCTTTATGTCTTAATTTACTTCATTTATACTGAAATCAAACAAAATAAGCTAAAATTTGAAACAAAAATAGATCAAAATTTAAACTCAAATCATTTGCACTGCCATAGTTTTGCATCAGCACAAATTAATTTATTTGCATTCAACCACAGTCTAAGCAACTAATTGCCAATTGCTTCTTTTTGTGTAAGGTTATTAAATAGAAAAGCCTAATGATGATGTTGCTACCAATTCATATTTATTTTTAACTTATGTCCATGTGCATCCAAGTATCCAACTATAAGCTATGTCCATCATGCATTTGGTTATTCATATCATCATGTGCATATGCACATACCCATTTAACAGATGATGACCATGATTCTTGGGGTGACCCCAAAAGTGTTACATTAATTGTCAATGCAAGTCCTCTTTTGAAAGGATGGTGCAATCTTATTCAGCCCAGGTGGGGGCCTAGGCACTTTCAGATTGTGATCAAATACCAACTCCACAGGACTGCTTCTGCTGCTGCTGCTGCTAAACAATCGGGTTTAATTTATACAACTCTTGATTTTCTTCGCGTTAGAGAGAAGGGGAAATCACATGAAAAGACATGTCCACCACCTTTGTCTTGGTTATAGAGAGAGAGAGGTAGTGTAAAGAAGACAGGAGTTGCATAAGCTCCTTGATTCTTGGTTTTCCTCCAAACTCAGTACTGTTGCAAACTTGCAATGCCATACTAGATAAATCAAAGAACAAAGGAATAGCGTGATGCTATTGGAATTTGGAAGATGAGTTCATTAGTTTAATTCCATACAGATGTAAATGATACAGACGATTAACTTGATTCGGATTGGGACCGACCGCTTTAGCCCTTCTACAAAACTACCCAGGTCAAGATTCAATCAAATTTCTCCCGAGTATATATATATAACTATTAGATGTTTGTAGACAACACAATTACAATCCATCTAATTAATTAATTGGTTTGATCTGCACAAATTAATTATGGTCTATAAAACTCCAGTTATAATGTGAATGAGCAGGACAACTTGGGCTGCAGATGGGTGACCCACCTGGCGTGGCCAATTGGCCATCTAAGTGGAAGTTTGTCAAAGAAACAAACAAGTGGTCTTCTCTAGTTGGGATAGATGAGGTTGTCTTACCTCATATGACAACCCATTAGTCTTCCGTCAGGTTAAAGTTATTTCCTTTAAAAGGCACACTAGCCCTAATTCAACAGTGTTTGTAAAGAATTCCAAAGCTATTAGGGTACTTTTTTTTCCCAAGTTGAGTGATACTTGGGGTGTCATTAAGCCATTTTAATTATGAAATCTGGAGCCCACGCTTAATTCCAGAGTTTGGTTATTCATTAAATTTAATTAAATAGAATTTATTCTTCTTTTTCTCAAACAGGTCCACAAATTACATCAGCAGAGACATAGTAAGACCCACCAAGATGGAAATTCGTTTCCAAATTTAGGGAGCTTCAATTTTCAATTTTGAAAAGCCTCAGGTTCCATAACAATTTCTGGAACCCATGGTTCAAGTTTTGGAGATTATAGTTGATTTTGGTTTCTGAAATGACCGAAACTAAAATCAACCATGTTGGTAAAGACATTCTTAAGAAAACCAACCAAACGCATTTAGATGTATAATGTCCTTCAGATGGTCTGCTTCTTTTCTTTTTCTTTTGTTTTTCTGAATATAAAAGTGGAGGCACTAAGCAAGATCAAGGAGGGCAATGTGACCTCATAGCCCTCTGCACATCTAAGCAATGTGGATTGCAGTTTATACATCTAAGCAACTGTAGTTTGGACCTACATGATCTCTTAGAATGCTTTATAGATCAACAACTAGTTCAATGATAATATCTTTACTATCTGATCTTATGCAAGAATAGCCACCATGCACATCTAAGCAATGTGGATTGCAGTTTGTACATGTTTCTTTGAAAAAATTTATGTGCAAGAGAGATTCATTGTATCAATGGTTAAAAATACAGAAAAGAATAGCAAACATAATAATAACAAATTTTGAGAAATACCATAACTAAGTGGTTTTCTGATATTCTCTTGGCAGGTTAGGTTTTCATATATATATATATATATATATATATATATATATATTCTATTTTAATAGCTTTTTTTTTTAAATTTTGTGTTTGTTTAGTTGCCTTTTTTGCCTTTGTTGATTAACTTCTTATTTAATACTTTAAATAGAACTTGTATCATTATTAAATTTTCTTTGTTCTCTTCAAATTGTTATTATGTTCATGTTATAACTAGGGGTGTCCACGAGCTACTCGAGCTCAGCTCGGCTTAATTTCAACCGAACTTCAAACCGAACTCAAACCCAATTTACAGGCTCGATTAATAAACGAGCCAAGTTCAAATATATATATATATATATATATTATAATTCATAATTTTTTAAATATCAAATAAAAATTATTTTTTATATATAATTTTTTGTTTTTATAAAACCTTTTTTTCTCAAATCAAACTCGAGTTCGAGCCTTGTACAACCTTGGTGAGCCAAGCTCGAGCCTTATACTATTTTGCTCGGCTCGAATCCACCCCTAGTTATAACCATTATGAGATAGATCACTCCAGCAATCATTTTAACTGAATTAGGCAAAAATCATTCTGATTATTAGTAAAACATCATTAAATGCAAAACATAAATCACAAGATCAAAAAGCTGTAAGGCCATTACCCAATATTTGTCCCAACTATCTCAAGGAGGGGTGGGTTGGATATTGCCCTAACCTTTGGCATTTTCTTTTTTTTGCCTCACGCTTTGACAGCCTGAGATTTTTACAATTACACCAAGTGCCCCTGTTAGAAGATCAAAATGACCTGCAGAATCAATATGCAAAACAGGCAAAGTATAATGCCAATGCCTAACTAGAAAATCCAATTCCAGGTTAAAATTGCAGCTAGTGATTTATGTCCATTAATAAGCATAGTAATGGAACCAATGCAATTGTTATGTATTTGGGTACTGTATATATAATGTATCTTGTTCCTGAAGGTTGACAACAAGGAAAAGACAGATCAAGAAAGAGGGTTTTGGCTGTAAAAGACACTAGGGTTTGAGCAAGGTTGTTCATTCTTGTACTTTGTCTGTTAGAGTGGATTTGTTCTCCTTCTCCCTTAAACAGCAATAAGGTCAAACCACATAAATCTCTATGCGTTCTTTGGATTTCTCTCTCTCTCTCTTTTTTTTTTTCTTTCGATTTTTCTATTTGCCAATCGGTTTCAGATATTAGGTGTGTCGTTGCACAACAACAATGAAATCCACACACGACCTGCTAATGCATGTTTGTATAATGACAGAACTCACCCAATTTCTTTACCGGAGAAAACGAACCACCATTACAATCATGGAGATCATAGTATATAGCTGCCATTACACCATGGGGGTTTCCCCTATAGTTGTGTCCCATTGCCTACAAGTCACATTAGATAAAGTTGCATGTGGAAATACACCTTCATGCTTAGGCAAAGTGTTTTTACACCTCTAACCTCCAGCAAACTTACATATTCTGATTTAAATACAAGGCTCAGTTTGTTGCAGTGTGGTTTTATTTTTATTTTTATTTTTTTTTGTGAAAAACAAATAGGAAATAAATTGAAGTGGTTCCCATTTTATACGAAAGATAATGGAGATAGGAAGTCAGTGCAAGCCCCATTCGAAACGGACTTGCACTGACTGAAGCCGCGATCTGTTGTTGTTGGAGCAGAATAATAGTTTCTAAGAAATAATTTCAACAGATCCTGGTAGAACAATCTGGATATGCTCCCATCCTGGTCGAACCAGAATCCTCCACATTCTATTTGTAATATCAATATCTATAAATCATGATTTGCCCAATATCCTCTAGTTTTCCGCTGAGAATCAACAACCCATAGACGGACGGATTGCGTAAAGCTAGAGCATGTCTGCTGCAACTGTAGTGGCAATCGGTCAGCCGGCTGGGTTGAAGACTAACACCTGACCGCTGGGTGTAAGCAAAAACTAATCTAGCAGCCGACTCATCGAATCAGAATCCTCCACATTCTAACACCTCATTCCCTCTACCCAATATCCTCCAGTTCCCACAGACGATCAACCCATTGAGGGAACCTATGGAGCGATGGTCGCAGCACGCCCTTGTCACTGGTCAAACAATAAGAAAAAAAATTCTTTCTTTACATCACCTAAACTGCTTTTAAATTTCCATTGCTGGTTTGCCCATGTGGAGGGATCGCAAGGGAAGGGAGTGCAGATGCGAACTCAAAGCTAGAGCAGTCAGTCTGACTGCTGGGTTGAAGAATGAAGACACCCTGATGAGAAATGGTTTTAGTTGCTGATATGTATACACGTTAAAACGAAGAAAACCTAATTTCTAACCAAACCAATGTGGAGGAACAAGGAGAGGGAGTTAAATTATATTTGTTGAAGATTATTACCTGTTTGATCAGCCAATATAATACACAAACATAATTATGCGTCTGTGTGTGTGCGAGAGAGAGAGAGAGAGAGAGAGATTAAACTCTGCATCAGCATAGTCTTGTAGTCTAGTTAAAATCAAGATGACAAAGGTAAGAAACAAAAGCACACTCACTATAAGAGATTAGAACTTCAAGTTTTACTCTCCGCAAATCAATTTTAATTGACGACAGGCCAAAGAAGCAAGTTAACTCTTTTTTAATGAATTAAAAAAAGCAAGCCAAACTACTAAGTTCTAGCTAGTAATAAAACTCAAAGGCAGCGCACTACCATCAACTTATAAAACTAGCAGTGATACTGATAGGTCACTTTCCCTTCAATTTTTTCATATTAAATAACATATGGTAGCCTTGCCGTTGCTAAATGCTGCGTTGTTTATCCACACTCCCCCCCTAAAACAGGGGAAGTCAAGTCATGTATGTATAACAACACAAATGACAAAAACAAAGCATCTAACTTAAATTAATACTTTAGCTATCAAAATTCAAAACCTTTTTCCCGACAATAGTCAATAGGATCCATCTCCCTTCCTACCTCAATACATATATCGACAAGTATCGTGACCTGCAACCACAGATTACCATATAAGGAGGAGAAAAATAGAGAGAACGAACACTTAGGTAACGAAAAAATAAATAATAAAACGTACTGGGATCCAAGGAGGTGATAACACCGGTGTGGGCAAAATCGCAGTTGAAATCGTGACGACCGGAGGTCTGGTAGTAAGCATTCATGGCGTAGGATGCATGAGACCTGATGGTGTTGGGGTTGAAGCAATCACCACCAGCCTGGATAGGCCTGCAATCCACTCCCAAGCTGCAGACGTAATCGATGTTCGCCTGCAGCGCTCCATCGCTCGCGTCCGCTTTCGGCACACACCACTTCTTTCCCGAACCCGACGGTGTTGTTGGCGTCGGACCTCCTGACTGCACCAATTAAACCACACTTGGTCAATGGTTTGCCTAAATAGAACGCCAAGTGGCAACATTTTTTAAAAACGTGTACATAAAAACATAAACCGCTCTCCCATTCAATGAAACGTGTACGATACAGATTGTTTTGAACTTTTGAACACCTGAAGACATTGGTCGTCGGGCTCACATGCACGATGAATCACGTGATACCAGCTCAACTCAGCAGGTACTGATTTATTATTGGGGTTTTTTATTAGGTATTAGCTCTTATTAATAGTCAGCTTCAAAACGACAAAACGAAGAGGAGAAATACTATTGCAGATATTCGGCGACAAACTCGCCACGTTTAAAGTTAACGGAGGATTATTGATGATATCACATTGGTGGTAACCGTGCAAGGTGAGCTACCGTTATATAGGGAAAATTCTCAATTAGTACCTATATATTGCCCTTGTCATTTTGGTATTCGAACTTTAAAATGCGAAAATTCAACATCCAACGTGTAACTAGTTAGTTAAGAGTTCAAATCAGTCCCCACAGCACATCCACGCCGTGTATTGAGAACATCTCTCGATGATATCATCAGAAAATCGGGAGATGTTACCAGTACACGGCGGATGTCATTTTGACGTTTAGATGGTTTATAAAGAAAATTAAATGACTTACTGTCTTTTTCAAATGCTATTTATACTGATTGTCGGATTTTAAGTTCGACAACCAAAGCAGAATGACACTAGGCACAAAGTACAGCTGTACAGGATTCTAATTGGAAATTTTCCCTATGTATCCCAATCTGACGGCTAAAAAGAAAAAGAAACGGCTGAAGCAAAAATCTAAAGTAAAAGGATAGTCACCGACTAACCTGTCCACGCATGATCCCGACGTTGTAAACCGGTGTCAAATCAGGTCGGAACAGCCCAAAGTTTCTCTCGGCGGTCGAACCTGGTTTAAGATTCTCGTTGAACAACGAGAAAATGTATGTCTCGAAATTCCGGTTAGGCATCAACGGCGTCCCTTTGCCGGTGTTCACGTGCTTGATGAGGTTCCCATTATACGAGATGGCGTTCTCGAGGTTGACGTCCGGCTGGTTCGTGTCCCCAAGGGATGGCCATCCTGTCTCCGCCACCACGATATCGACGTCGCCGTAACCCAATCTCTTCATCGCCGAATAAACGGCATCCATCTGGGCGTCGAACATGTTAGTGTACGTTATCCCCGTAAAGTTGTCGTGAATGCCGGGGTTGGGTTTGAAGAGTGCGTAGTTTAACGTCTTCTGGGAGAAGCCGAAGTATGGATATGGGTTTATCATGAACGGCGATTTTGTTTCCCTGTGGAACTGGAGCATTGGAGCGAAGATAACTCGATCGTAGCCACGTCGAAATCGGCCCGTACTCGGTGGCTCGGATGTTGAAAGAATGCCGAGAGAGTGAGGTGTGGACACCTGAATGTCTTTGATTCCAGCTTTTACGAGAGCGGCGTGGAGGGATCTCATAGCTGGGAGTAGATGGGCTATGAGGTTTTTGTCAGAGGTGGCCACGATTTCGTTCCCAACGGCGATCCGGTTGATTTTGGTTTGTGGGTGGAACGGGGAAATGTGAGTGGCGACCCAGTCTTGAGCAGCAGGAAGTTTCGACAATGCAGGGATGTCGCCATTACCAACGGAAACAGTGATGGCAATTCCGGTGTTAGCGAAAGCCTGGAGAACATCTGGGTTGGTGTCGAAGATCTTGACTTTGTCGATGGTGGTGCTCTGTTTGAGAAAGGCCGCGACTTGGGAGGGAAGTGGAAGATCGTTAGCAAGGGTTCCATAGTTTACACCGATGGAGTAATCAGCGGTAGCGTCTCCTATGAGAAAGCCAGAGACAACAAGAAATAGAAGGAACAGCCATAGCTTAGATGGATTTTTAGCAAGGTTCGTCATGTTCGAAGTTCGGAGGGAAAAATTACAACAAAAGGAACCAGAATTTGGTGTAGTTAAGGGCGAGCAGATAGGGTTTGGTTGCAGGTTGTCTGGGGAAGTGGGGAGTAAGGGAGGAGCTAGCGAAAAGATTGCAGTAATGGAGACTGGGGAGTAATGGGGTAAAGGGGATCAGGGCCCTCAGGGGTGGGTTTTGTTTGTTAAATGGATGAAAGAGATGAGAAATGACGGTAATGTCGTCCGTTCGATTTGATTACTCAAGGAAAGTAGAAAAGGAGCGGAATTGCCATTTCGTGGACTACGTTGACCATAGCATACGTGGGTTGGAACTTGGGACTTGGATCCTTCCACTTTGAATGTTGGTGGAGGGAAATTCTTACACGTGACGCTTCTGCTACCAACCGTGTTGGAGATGTGCGGCTATAGATCATATTAAAGCCGTGTCGTTGTGTCTTGTTGGATTCGGTCTTGGGAACGTGTAAGATGTTAAATGGCAAAAGCCAAAAGGTGCTTATTACAGTAAGCTACGCCTACGCGGTTCTTTTTTTTTTTTGTTTTTTTGTGCAATGCAGCGGAGGCCAGTGGATGACAATCTGCGCGTGTTCAAATGACTAAAATATCCAATTTTTTCTGGGAAGTACGTGATGCAGAAAGCAGTGGGCCCTGCTCATGTCAAGGGGTGTTTTAGTAAGATTATATTATTATTATTATTTTACCAAAAGGAAAGGCGTGAATTTACAGCACAGCACAGCTACGCGTTACAGACCACCGAGCAAAGCAATCCAGAAAAGCAGAGAGACATGCGACGCTCGCAGCCAACTGTCATGGCATCAGCAATCGGCAAAATGAGTTTTTCACTTTTTCTAGTAAAGTAAAAAACTTGATCCTATGGAATTCAAGTCAAAGTGGGAACTGGGAGGAAGTCAAATCATTCATACCCGTATTGAGATGATGATATCTATCCAGGTAGGCCGTAGTGTCTTGGTTATCTCGTCTGCTGCATTACAACTGGTTGCATCGTATACAGGACCCATTAGTTTATGTTAGTCCGGACTGCTGCACTTGTTTGCGCGGCCGGGCCAATTCGGGAGAGCAGTGACAAAAATGTCCACAAATCTATCAAGGTTCTGAGTATGGATTATGGAAAACGCATGGATATTTGGATACATATCGAGATAAAATTAGCATACGCATGGACGTGTTTAGAGATGTAGTTAAGAATTTTGAGTTGAAGCTTCGAATCATATTCAAAGATATTGTCTTTTTTTTTTGGATTCAATTAAATGATAAAATAATAACTTTTTAGAATATAATTTCCTTTGATTATTCCAGGTAGATTGACAAATTTAACAAACCAAATTGATACATACCTATAGCCATTCCCTTCCAAATCGATTAATAATCTCCACCCCATTTTTTATGTCAAATTTGGGGGAAATTGCTATGGTCATTATAGGGGCTTATACACGGATCCTCTCTTATCATATGGAAGTGCTTATTCAACTTTTAGCAGCAGAATGATGGATTTCATAGAGGGTGCTATAATCTATAGTAATGGCATGAGCATCACGCATTTACTATTTGCGGACAAATGTATACAAGTCAAAGCATTAAGCCGAATTCTCACTTTTTTGAGCAATTATCAGGTCAATAAGTCAATTATAAGAAATCCCCCTTTTAAGCTCCGTTCCTTTTTTTATAAATTATATATTCAAGTAAATATAATTATTTGGGTAACTTTTTTCTGGGAAACATTTATATGGGTAAGTGTATTTATTCATGTTTTTTTATCCATTTTAGCCATAAAAATTCATTATTAAAATGAGCATTTTTGTCTCATTCAAGTGTTGGCAACTTTTCCCCTAAATAAGAAAATTAGTTATCCATCTAGGATGATACCCATGAAAATAAACTTTTCTAGGTACCCACATAAATTTAAAAAAAGAACATGAGATTCTTGGTCAATGAGAACCAAAATCCCATTAAACAACTTTCCCCCCTCTCAAAATCCAAAAAAAGAATGCCCCCTAAGAGTTCAACTTCAGTCAGTATTGGAACACCCTTTACAGCCTTGCATTAGAAGTATTTCGGTACTTATGTTCTTTATTTCATAGAAGATATTCACAATACAAAGTTAGAGAAAGGCTGTTGGAACGGTGTGAGCATTGAGTGAAGTTGATATCCATGTTTAGTAATAATGTCTCAAGGCAACACCAAAATTCTTCTCTCATATCCTCAAGATTCGTAAGCCACTATAAAGCATAAAATATCTTGGAGCTCAAATTGGGGTACGAGATGATAGAATATCCACACATCAACACATATTTGATCGAATCTCAGCAAAAGTTATTTCATGGAACTCCATATTACTCTACAGACAGGTTGAACTAGCTTGGTTCAATCAATTTTGCAAGCCATCCCTATATACTCCATGCAGACAATAAAATTGCCACAAAGCATTCACTCACAGATTTATAAGAATGTGAAGAAATTATGGTGGCAATCAAGACACGAATAAACACAACACACCATTCAATGGAGTAGGGTTTGTCAACACAAATCAGTCTGCGGATTAGGTTTTAGCCAAAGTATGATCATGAATAAAGCAATATTTGGTAGTAAGTTTGGAGACTCATCTCTTCCCCCCACACCTTATGGAGCCGCACCATTAAACCGAAATACTTTCTAAACGAAAGCCCTCTCAATGCCAAACCAAATAATATATATATCATCTTATTGGTGGTGCCAAGCACATAAAACTCTCCAAGAGCTTAAACAAAATCTTATCTGATTGGTGGAGGAGAAATCTAAAAGCAAGATTATCCACACACAAGGCTAAATACTACTTTGGCAAAGGCTGCACCGTGTTATACATTCTATGAGGACTCAAAATAAAATTATGTTGGAACACTCCACTACCGCTCCCAAAGATATTGTTACCGGTATGTGGAAGTATCACTCTCATGGAAACGAGAAAGAAGCATATCCCCTCACAAATCCCATTGCCAAGGATTTATCCATCTTCCAAATAGATGGCTCATATATTATTTGAATTCAAGTCATGCAGCTAAAACTAACTTTCATCCTCTAATGCTCCAGTGGAGGTCCAACAATTGCTGAAGGAGATCCCTGTTGAGCCATCAAAAGCTATGATGCAGAAATTCAAGGCTTAAATGCAGTTATCTAGAACAATGCTAGAAAGCTCATTATTTATGGTAACTCTCTTCAGCTGATTGATTTTTTGAACAACAGAAGTCAACTCAACAAATTAAACGAAGCAGCTGCACCTAAGGGTGTCAATTGGATTGAATTTTAGTTCGATCCAATTAGTCTAATGTGAGTCCATTATAAATGATCAGGTCCAAACAATGCAATGAATATCTTAGACCGGCCCAATTCAATGAATGGATCATCTAATCTATTCAAATTCGCACCTATATTCTTATCCTATTCAATGGACTATATATTGGCTTAATCCAATCCAATCCAATATAAATTTATTATGGACGGATCAGGTTCAATCCAATTTCATAAATATTTTGGACCGAATTAATTCAATCCAATATATCTTGCTAGTCTGTCCAATCCGTCCAAATTAATTTTGGACTGGATGGATTCCAATCCAAAACCGGTCCATTGACACTAATAGCTGCACCAGACTTACTTGCCAAGACTTGTCACTTATGTTATCTTGTGAACATCTTTACTTTGTCTATATAAATAGAAACCAAAATCAAGCGGCGTATTTAGCATGCAAGGGTCAACTTTCTTATATGTGTAATGATGGAAAATCCTACAACCAAAAGTGACCCTACGATAACCCAGAAAAATTAATGACCTAGATTGTTTATCTAACATGATGATTCGAAGTAGTTTTTGAATCGAGATCATAGTCAGATGATCCTACCAATTGGGTGGAGTCAAGGTGGAAAGATGAAACCGCACTCCAAGATCTGAAACCAAGAAAGTAGTCAGAGGCCCGAGGAGTTATTCCCGAATTGGTACTCCAACGCTCAAGTCAATCGAGAATATTGGACAGTATGGAAGTCAAAAGTTGGGTCTCTTACCTTGAGTAGAAAATACATTTTTATAGCCAAAGATTCGTGTCTTGGTCGGATGAGGCTACCGGGGTTGTTGGAATGAAGTTGCCCATCGAGGTCTTCGAGATAAAACCTAATCCTAGCGGAATTATCCTCATCCATGCGCTTTATCCATATGACGTGGTGCCGACGTGGCCAAAGTGATAAGACAGCCGCGGAGGTGACATGTGACACCCGGGGGCAATTCAACCATAACCCAAACATATCATATACAATGTGAACCCAACTCTACAACGGAGATCACATTGGTGCTCCACATGCACATCTCAGCATGCATTGGGAACATCTCCTATACTTAACATGGGAAGATGTTCCCAATACACAGGTGGGGCCCATGGGGATGCTGAGGGGCACTTGTGAGGCGCCCTTTGTGAGGCGCCAATGTGATCTCTACATGATTAAACCAGTCAAAGTCCATGCCAATTCTCCAAGCCGATTTTTGCATTACACTTCAAAAAATCAAGTGGTTAACCACAAAAATCTTACACTTTCTATTAATGCCACTAAATTTTTTATTGGATTGCATGCAAATTTGTTTCCAAAATATAAAAGAACCTCACGTGAATAACTACAACTAATAAAGTTGAGGATTCTGAAAAGAAACATTCTACAAAGTAGTAAATTAATTTAAATTGAAAGAAATAAGAGAATTTTATGTAAAATCATGCAAAAAACATCTTGATTAATACCCTTTTTATAGATGATGGAGTGCCACCATGCATAGGTGTTAATATCCATAAAGCAGCTTTTTATACTGCCAGTCTGCCACAAATTTAAATTAGGTGACTATTATCTATTAATGACTGTTAAAAACTTAAATGCTGTCTATTAATCATGCTTGTGTTGGACATAGAATACCATTTACTCTCTCTACTTGAAGTGGAAGTGGCAATGATACTGAATTCAAGCATAATGTTCTAGAACTAAAAACACCTAGTTCAACTTTGGAGGAGTATTGCCAAAGTATTAATTAGTATAAATTGTACATAAACATTTTCTACAAAAAGGACTTTTAACCAATTATGTCTTAAAAGAATTGAAGAAAATGAAGGTGAATAGCTTGCAATCGTTTAGCCGTCTTTGGTCAACTCAAGCAATTATTTCTGTGACTACACATACTCATCCTCACTACCATACCCAAGTCTAACCCAGTCGAGTCAAAGTTTCCAGAGTTGGCTTCCTTTTCTTGGGATTTTTTTTTCCTTTTATGTATTTCTTAAGTTTTGAAACTTTGGTTGTATTATAATTTTTTGACTACATTTCTTTAGCAACTTACGACATTTGAAAGCAGAGAATCTGATTATCGTTTTGATTTGTTTTGCAGTCCCAAGAGATATTATCGTTTTGGAAAAAGGAAAGAGGGAGAAACCCTTTAGAAGTCTGCACTCTAAGCTGGTAGGAGGTAGAGCTTTGATAAAATTTGTTTCTTTTCTCGGCTTTTCGTATGTATCATTGGAAAATTTTTAAAAGTTAAAATTGATGTTTTAAATTTTAATTGTGTTTGGAAACAAAGCAAATAAATGTGAATGCAAATATATCGAGTGTCAAAAGGTTTACATAAATTATAAAGTTGAGTTAGTTTTGTACTGACAAATTTATCTTCTTACCAAACAGACTTTTAGCTATACTGGATGCAAGAATGAATTTCAATAAAGCAAATGCTTTTTACTTTTTAATCAAAAGCCCACTTGAATGCAAATTTTCTTCTTTTTTATTGATGTATTTTTACATCTTATTATCAATGTAAATATGCGTTAATCTGTCATTTGTCAATGCATAATGTTGCCAAATACAGGCAAAAGTAAACCAGAGTACAAATTTACCCTGAATGGAGATTTACACTCCACTTGCATCGTTTCCAAACGCAGCCTATATATTCATTTTAAACACAGAATGAAGCCAGTTTATCAATCACCATGCATTTCAAATTCTATTCATTTTTGAAATGTTGACTTACAAGTTCAAGTAAAAGTGGTTTTTCAGTCCATCTTTCACACAAGCATTGCAAAGATGGACATAGAGAAATGATACCGAAACTTGGTAATTCCAATGTACCTGTAGCTAAGATGGTCATTCAACAAATATGGAGATGTAGGATCAAATCCGTGTGATTCCAAATTCTCTGTGATAAGGTCAGTGGTCCTCCCGAGGTCCGGATGTAGTAGGCACGTTAGGTAAGCATAATGAGTGAGCATGTAATAGCTGTATGACACATGTCCCAGTTAATGGACCTTTCATCTAAACGTTTTTACTCAATTAGATAGAAATTATCTATTATTTTATTATCTTTGTCAAAATAATTAAAAATAAAAAACAATGAAAAAGGAAAACGTAAATGAGTCCCAACTCCCAACACGTTTAGGTTTTCCTTTTTCATTGTTTTTATTTTTAATGATTTTGACAAAGATAATAAAATAATGTATAATTTTTGTCTAACGGAACAAAAACGTTTGGATAAAAGGCACATTAAGTAGGACATGTGTCACACTGGGGGTCCGGATGTAGTAGGCACATTAGGTAAGTACAATGAGTGAGCACGTAATAGCTGTGTGACACATGCCCCAGTTAATGTGTCTTTCATCCAAACATTTTTGCTCCGTTAGACAAAAATTATCCATTATTTTATTATCTTTGTCAAAATAATTAAAAATAAAAACAATAAAAAATGATAACTTATACGTATTGGGAATTGGGACTCATTTACATTTTTCTTTTCATTGTTTTTTATTTTTAATTATTTTGACCAAGATAATAAAATAATAGATAATTTTCTGTCTAACAAAATAAAAACATTTGAATGAAAGTCACATTAACTGTGACATACACTCATTGTACTTACCTAACGTGCCTACTACATCCGACCCTCCCGTCCTCATGTCTTCTTCTCTGTCTCCAGCACATGAAAAATGGCACCAAAACTTTTGTAACTCGTAATGTGCCAATGGGTAACCTACTAGCTGAGATGATCATCAGGTTATCCCTTTGAATATGGAGGCATGGAACAAAACCCATGCAACTGCAAGTTTTTCCGCGGTAAATGAGGTGGACCTCATGTAGTGTATCCTACTTTGTCTTCCATGGTCCATTCAAGGATTAAAATATTAAAATTCCTAATATCCAAAATTAGGTATGGATGAGTATTAAGATGGTGGGATGGAGACTATCATCTGAAAGGTTTAACATTTTAAAATCGTTCAATATCAAAATATCCATACGTAAAAGGTTTAACATTTTAATCCTTACTCCACCCTTTAATTTCCTGTAATGTGTAATATGTAATACAAAACAAAAATCAAAAACAAAAAAATGTGGACAGCCTAAAAATGGCAACATTATTACTTAAACCTTGCTCAGCAGTTCAGCACTGGGAGTGATTATGGGCGGGGCCGGGCCTGGGTCAGGCATTTAGGTCTACTAAAATTATATACTCATTTAAAATAATATATAATATTATGTATTTATTTTCGGGTCTGGCCTGGCGAGTAATTGGATAAACTAACCAACTAGAAGATTGAATGACTTTTTACCAGCCAAAATGATATTCTCCAAAACATAATCTATTTATTTGTTAATCAGAAGCACCCAATGAAGCTGGTTTTCCTTCTTGATTTTGTCCACATGAGTTTGTACAATGTCCATAGCTCAATTTTAATTTGAAAAGATATTCCATCCCTTTCTGAAATAAATTATGCATTAAACCATTGGATGCTTGTTTATGTTGTCAGAGAACCTCTCCGGTTAGGCTATTATAGGCCATTAGGCCCAATGGTTACCTTCTAGGACCCGCGATATTTGCCACCTTACTTTTTGGAAGTGGACTTACCGTTGGATGGACCTCAAACGAAATGGGCCAATAGTGCACTATTTTTTCCGCATTGGACTCATGGAAGAATATTGGGCCAGATCCTCCGAACATGGGCCGCGCAATGAGCTATGGAGTATGGACTATGGCGGCTCCAGACCACTTCTTGGATCGTGGGGACTGGGGACCCGAGATTCAAGTTTGTCCGATTACGTGAAAGAAAAGAAGCTAGAAACTGTATGGACCGTACAAGAGGCGCTCCCGTCAACGACTCAATGTACGCCGTTGATGAAGAAATGGAGTCTTGATGATCCTGGATCATTAACAAATCTCTTCTCGACGGTCATAATTTATTTTGACGCCATCAACGATCGTAATTAGTAGCTGTCAAGTCTCAACTATTCAAACTGAGTAGATTTTTTTCACATTTTATTTTTTACTTGTGCACTTTTTACCAGAACAAATAATCTCCTGATCCAAGGACCAGATTAAAATTGGGAAAGAATCGGAGCCGTCCAAAACAATGTATTCACATGTGTTCCTCATTAATGCACAGCACCCTCGACCAGTTAAACGATCCGACCCGTTTGAGCTTCAAACCTTTAACATTAACAAGAATCGTCGAGAGCCGTTAGTAGAAAAACGTGATGTAAAGGGGCCGGGGCCGTGCTCGTGCTCGCCTGCTCGGCTCGAGGTTTCGTTAACGGAGGAAAACGGAAACGTCGGTCAGTCTGTTTTTTCTTTTCTTTCTTTTTAATAAAAATCGTTTTAGTTCCTTCTTCTCTCTCTCTTTCAACGGGCGAGGATTTTTGAAAGAAAGCTTTCACAGTTTTCTTTTCTTCGAGGGTTCGAACTTTTTTTTTCCTCTTTCTGTCTCTCGATGAGCACAGATTCGGTTCCCGCCATTCTTCTGCAACCGGAGGTAACTTAGTTCTCGGTTGTCTTAATTCTTTTTACTGATTCTTCTTCTCAAGATTTGGCTGTTTTGGATCATTTCACAGCAATTTTTTGTTAAATTCAAGTAGCTTTGATTTGTCTGTAGTTTGACCGTTCTTCTGTTGTTGCTTGATCTAAAACACTATAATTCTCTGTTCTTTATCCTTTTCATGTGTCTGCTCTTCTGTTTGATCTGCTTTAGTTTAAGATCTGTGTCCTTTTTGTTGGTTGGCGATTGAGATTTAGGATGTATTGCTCATGGTAGGGATTCTGGGAACTAAGTGGACTTTATTAACATGAGAATTCTGCTGGTAAAGTTTCAATAGTCTTAAATGCTGTCTTTTCGGTTTTGATCTTTATTAGGATGTTGGGTTTTGGAGAGACGTAGAAGATGATGATTGAGGTGAAAAATGAGCAGTTTTGTCTTCAGAACAAGCAGTCAACTGCTGCTTCGAACTCTTCTGTTTCTGAGGGTAGCTGTAACATCGCTCCGAAGTCTCCGGGGATTTGCAGCCCTGCTTCAACGTCGCCATCGCATCGGTAGTGTTCTTTGTTCTCTTTACTATCAGAAATGACTACTTTTCTTCCTCAATTACTGTTAATATTTGTCTGTTAGGTTTTATTTAAAATCAAACAAAATTGACTATAGTTTTTTATTGATAGACAAATTGACAGTAGTTTGCCCATCGTCAATTAGTGTCATGGGCTCAAGTAAAAAAAAATGAAACACTAACTAACCTGGCTATCTTTGATTCAATTAAGTCATTCATTTCAAGCTGGAAAAACATTTTTACATCACTGTATATCATTTCAAGCACATCATACATGTCCTTAGAAATCGATTTAGTTGACTGGAAACAATAAATAGCATTAAATAATAATGGTTTTTGTTCCTTTTCTCTTATTAGGAACGATCCTCCTCTATGGTTTATTATAACATCATGTGCTGATACTGTATTCAAAAACTTTTTAGCAATTAATGCATCTTTTACAAATTCCAGAAACTTTGTGATTTCTATGAGTTATGAATTAACATTGCATGCAGGAGGACAACTGGCCCTATAAGGCGAGCAAAAGGTGGGTGGACTACAGAGGAGGTGAGCAGTTTATCTTGACATGTAAACTGTTCTGCGCCACAGGCCAGCTAGAAGTTTCTACCACATAATTATTAGAACTTTCCTCCTTGCTTGATATAATTGATGGCACAATCATTCCTCTTAGTTTGATTCAGTATGATTGTCTTTGGTTTGATAGAAAATAAGAGAGAAACTGAAATTTGAGGGGAAGTTAAGAAATTTTGTGGAACCCTTCAGAACTTTCATTCAACTTTCTTTTTCTATCAAACCAAACACAGCCTATGGTGAGGCAGGTCCAGATCAGTTCTTCACTATATGGATGAATTAATCACTTGTTTAAGTTTGCTTTAGATGTCTTTATATATTCATGCTAATGCCTTCCACTGGGCCACTTGTGCATTCATTGTTATCTTCTGAATCATAGACTTTGTTCCTTATTTCTTCATGCACTACAGGATGAGACGTTAAGAAAAGCTGTTGAATCTTTTAAAGGGAAGTGTTGGAAGAGAATAGGTTTGTTCTATTCTTCTCTATGATTTCCACCATCTGTTTAGTTGTTTTGACTAATCTTGATTGCTGACTTGTTTAAGTTAGGATTTATTTAACTTTGCTTGACTTCATTCATTATTTAGGTTGGACCCCTTCCTGTTTAATGACATTTACAAACCTGACATTGGATGTCCTTTTTTTTCTTTTCTTTTCTTCTTAGTGGCTCTCTTTTGTATCTCCTTGCTGATTATTTCAATCCCTTACCAGTTATAGGGTTAATTTGTCCTTGTTGATAACAAGCAGATGGGCACTCCAATTCTTTTGGTATTTTACAATTTCATACATGCATCATGGCATTGACATTAGAGTTCAGTTCAATTAATCTTATAGCATATTGTGTTGTGCAAGCACTCATATCCTCGGTAGACAAGTTGGCATGATAGTCACACTTTGTAACATCAGTTAGTGTGTGTGTGTTAATGTGCCTATAAATTCTTCATAAATGAGTAGCTAATGGATATCTGTATTTTACTTGGAAAACTCATACAACCTGAAATCTTTCATAAATATTCCTGTGAAAACCTTGAAAATGAGGAAGACACATGATAGTTGACAGCTGTTTGAACTACGGATGCAAGAGAAAGATAAGCTGACAAGTAGCAGCTTTATGAACAACTCAAAATCAATGCAACACTAAAAAACAAGGAGAAATCTCGGGCAGGGCCGGCAGGCATAGTACCTAATGCTTGTTCATGGTTGCTGACATGATGCACTAACAAAAACAAACTGAAATATGGAAATATCCACAAAAATCATGTAGTATAGGATATCTCTGTAAGATAATTTGGTTGCTTGGCATTTTCATATATAACACATATCCTGTGGCCATATCAAAACTTGTAATGTTTTGTTTATACACATGTATGTAGTGGGAGTTTGTTTTGTGATTAACTAACTATTCATGTTTATGCAGCTGAATTTTTTCCTGATAGATCAGAGGTGCAATGTCTGCATCGATGGCAAAAGGTTCTTAATCCAGAGCTTATTAAAGGCCCATGGACCCAGGAGGTCTGTTTCCGATTTCACTCCCACTATTCCCAATTATTATGAAGTTGCAAGTCGGGTATTAAATTTTTGTTCCTTATTTGATTCACAGGAAGATGATAAGATCATTGAACTGGTATCGAAGTATGGGCCTACAAAGTGGTCTATTATAGCAAAATCCTTGCCAGGTCGTATAGGAAAACAATGTCGGGAGAGGTTAGTTTTTCAGCTGAATGTGGTTTTGATTGTTCTTATACATTTTAATTCTTATCTCAAGATTTTTGAACTTCAGTTAATTCAGATTGTTATTGATTTATGTGATTGTACAATAGAATAAGGATGATAAGAAACTAGGGCTTCTTTCATCACTGTGACCACTTGGGTTCATCTATAGCTTGCTGCTTGTACTCAACAAAATGAAAAACTAATTATTTGAACCATTTTCAGGTGGCACAATCATTTAGACCCAATGATAAAAAAAGATGCTTGGACCTTGGAAGAGGAACTTGCACTCATGAATGCTCACCGAATACATGGGAATAAATGGGCAGAAATAGCCAAACTCTTACCTGGCAGGTAGTATTTCTAAACCTATAATGATGCTCTTCAGTAAAGGGAATATAAGGTACTGTGATGATGGCCTATCTCTATGTTCTAGCAATACAACTACCCTAGGAGATCTGCCATTCTATACATAAAATCATTCTCAAGGTCCAGCCGTTCAATTGTCTACACTTTTTCTGGATAGTGAGAAAATATTATTTAAATGGTATTTTCACAGTTTTTTTTTTCTGAAGAAAAAAAGGGAGAAAAAGAGAGAACCTAGAGTTTTTTTCAAATGGTTTCTTGTCATATAATTTGTTCAACAACTTCCTATCAGTGGAGATAATCATAGACAAATATAAACCTTAAACTAGGGTACATAAGCAAACACAATAAATTACATTTTCTTGGTGCTTTGCAATCAAATAACACGAGAGTTTCAGCAACATCAAATGGTTTCATGCTATTGGTTGATTGATTTAATGGGTATTTAGCATTTTTTTCCAAAATATTTTTTATGCAACAACCTAAAAACTTCTTATATTTTCTACCTTTTATTTCTAAGTTCTTGTTTTTTACATGCTACCGTTTTAACCACCCTGATTAATTTTACTCGGTAATTTCTGAATGCACAATTATTTTGGTTTACAAAATTGAATGATAATCAGGAGTTTTTGGCTTCATTAAAATATCAGCTGGACCTTGTATGTTAACCACTGCCTTTTTCTCGTCCAGGACTGATAATTCAATAAAGAACCACTGGAACAGTTCCTTGAAGAAGAAGTTGGATTTCTATTTGGCTACTGGAAAACTTCCAACAGCTCCAAAGAATGGCCTCCAAAATGGTGCCAAAGATTTATCTAAACCATCAAATACAGGAAAACCTGCTGCTTGTTCTAATAAAAGACTGGGCTCGACAGTTGAAGCTTCCCCAGGAAACGAAATTATTTGTAAATTGAAGGATTGCAAGGATCATGTGGAGTCATCAAGACAAAGATTCCCATGTACAGATAGTTCAATAAGTATATCAGTAGCTAGGCATACTGATTCTGATGAATCTGAAAGCAAGGCAATGGCATCAAAATTAGATATGTGCTGTGTCGCATCTGATTTCATACCCAAATTTGAGAAATATAGAAGCAATAATGAAATTGACCAAGACAACAAGGATGTAAATATGTTGCAGTTTGAGGTTCCATCCTTTGGTTTATACTATGAACCACCAAAGCTGGAAAACTGTGGTATTACCTTAAATCCTATGTTAAACACCTTCGGTTCAAATCAACAGGCATACAACTCTAGTCCAGTCATGTCACCTATCAATTTCTTCACTCCACCTTGTGTGAAAGGTACTGGTTTGGATGGTCAAAGCCCAGAATCCATACTAAGGAATGCTGCCAAGAGCTTTCCAAATACTCCTTCCATACTAAGAAGAAGAAAGAGAGAAGCAAATGCTGCATTGCTCCATGCTAGAATTGTGCAAACAGATGCGGTAAGGAACAATAACAGTTTATGTTCTCCAGAAGAGAAAGAGAAGAAAATTATGGAGCAGACTGAGTCTCCAAATGGAAGCTTGTTTGATATTCCTTCATGTGATGGTAGTGACACCACTGGGATGTATAATGGGAAGGACTTTAACGTCTCTCCCCTATACTGTTTAAGGTCAAAACGAACTGCTATTTTCAAGTCTGTGGAGAAACAACTTGACTTCACATTAGACGAAGAGAAGTTTGGTACCCATACCGTTCACATTCAGAAAAAATGGCGATAACCTAGTTGGTAAAATTTAGGTATGTACAGTAAGTGGATAATTTTGTAGAAGATGCACTTTTGAACTTCTTTTCATACAATCTATTTTTATAGCCCACTTCTTCTTTGCATAGTTGGTGGTCTTCTCATGTGTGGTTTACTTAATAGAGCCCATTGTTAGAATTACAATTTTGTTATTTATTTTTTAATTTGTATAGCCCAAGAATCCCATAATTGTACGTTTTTTTTTTCTTCCCATCATATTTTCACTCATCTCTTCCGCGTCCTATCTTCTTTCCGTCAAAACCTAATCTACTGGTTTTCTTTTGTACGAATTCAACCAAAACACTTTGAATACAGATATTGATATTCGTCTCCCCCCTTGTATGTTTGTGATTATATAGGTGATCTCTGCTACTCTACAAAGGCGTCTTAACACAATAATATAATAATTATGTCTTAATAAACTTGTAATAATTATTTGTCAGGAACAAAAGGGGCCAAAAGAGGGGAAAATCATATTCAAATAATCCATTTAACTTATATTGTTGAAATATGCCAGTATTCAAAGTAGAATGAACACTTACCCAATGTAGATATCTATATTCAAGGTGTTCTGGTTGCTTTGGTTGAATCAATGTATACGACAACCTAGAAATCAAATAAATCCAATGAATACTTACCCAATACAGATATCTACGTTCTAAGTGTTTATGTAATGAATCAATGTATAACAAATGTCTATCTTCAGGTTACATTCCAAACAAGATTATACAACAGCCTAGAAATCCAATTAGATAAAGATTAGAAACCCAATTAGAAGTAAAAACATCTCAACTGTTAATCAGTATGGATCTCTGACTTTCTATGGAATTGATGGGATTGGATTCTATTAATTAAAGTGTTCTTCGTTGTTTTGGTTGAGTTCCTATAGAAGAAAACCAGTGGATTAGGTTTTGGGGGAAGTAAGAGATGAAGAGTGAAAATGGGATGGAAAGAAAAAAACATACAACTCTAGAATTTTGCGCTAGACAAATTAAAAGAGAAATAACAAAAAGTAAATTAATATCACTGTTAACCTAACGGTGGACTCTGTTAAGTAAACCACACATGAGAAGACCGTGCAAAGAACTTGTGGCGATCAGTCATTGGGTTTACAACAAAGTCATTAGCTGTGTACGTCTACAACAGATGCAGGTTCATTATACACGTGTATTTGCAGCAGATCAAGAGTGCGTCCCATGTGTATGGAACACGTCTGTAGTGTATTTAGCAGATCAAGAGTGCGTCCCATGTGTATGGAACACGTCTGTAGTGTATTTGCAGCAGATCAAGAGTGCGTCCCATGTGTATGGAACACGTCTGTAGTGTATTTGCAGCAGATCAAGAGTCTCATCGGGGATAGGTAGCTTTTCTCAGATTTTTCTTGCATCATTTGCCATCACCATAAACTTGTCCTTTCACCTATATTTGGCTCAAAGGAGATTCCAATTTCCAAGTTTATGGTAGATTGCCTTAGCGAAAGGGACTTGCTGACTAAGACTGGCAGTCTTGGATGCAACATTATAACTGCAAATGGCATAGAAGTTAAGGTCTCCCAAAGATATTGTATAGGAAACCAAGGTACCGACTTCTTGTCTAACAAGGGTTATATGCTGGGAAAGCCTAGGTATTGAGATCGATGTCCAGTATTATTGAGGATAGCTTTTGAGAACCTTTGGGCCCATGCCACCCAAGATTACTATCATATGAGGCTTATGTGAGTGGAGAGCCCTAATGATGAATAAGTAGAAATGATAAGAAATGATTTAAGTATTAATAATTTAACAATAGATATGGATTTTGATGAGGGTAGATTTAGCCCTCTACTAACATCATGACACATGGCATGTCGGAACAACTGGGTGACACCCAGAATCACCTAAGCGACAACTTGTCTTAGTCAAAATGATGGAGTCCCAGCTAGCGACCTGGCACTGTCGCCGACCTGGCACTGTCGCCGACCAGGCGACCTGCCTCTGGTGCCGATCTAGTGACCTGCCTCTAGCACCGACCTAGCGACCTGCCTTTGGTGCCGACCTGGCGACCTACTTCTAGCACCGACCTGGTGACCTGCCCCTGTTGCCGACTTGGCGACCTGCCTCCACCGCCGACTTGCCGACCTGCTGACCTGCCGCCACCCACAACCTAGTAGAAACCTAGCTAGTGACCTTGTCCACGACTCAAGGCGGCTAGCAGCACCTTGTCTAGGGCCGACCTGTGGTACCTCGTCAGTATTGGCTGAAGCGACATCGACGTGGAGAGCGACCTCCCTCGAGGGCTTGCCGACCTGATTGAGGTCCAGCTGGCGACCTACGAGACATGCTCGTCGTCGATTTCTGCATGCATCCCATCACTCCTGGGTCTCTCGGAAATCAGCTCTCACACCGAATGTTTTGGGAGAAACCAAGTAAGGCGCAAAGATTGGCCTACGTGCACGACTACCTCTGAGGACTTCAGAGCAGTTAAGCATGTCCTCCTAGAGATCCCGGACGTGTTGCGTGATGCTCACGCCAAACAATGCCTATATAAAGGCCTTACCTCCAACTCCAGGGGAGAGATGCGCAATTTAGTTCTCGTAGCTCTCCAGTTCTCTCACATTTAGCTATCTTAAAATATCTGATTCGCTAATTTAAGCATCAGAGTGCCCACCCCGGGTAAGGCGACCCGGGCACTCTGACACTATGTCCTTGCAGGTCACATCAGAGCCACCTCTCCAGCTCATCACCACTCAACTAGACATTAAAGCCACCTCTCCAGCTCATCACCACTCAGCTAGACATCAGAGCCACCTCTCTAGCTCGTCACCATTCAGTTAGGCGTCAGAGCCACCTCTCCAACTCGTCACCATTTAGCTAGGCGTCCAAGCCATCTTCCAGGTAGGAACCTTTCAGCTAGGTATCCAAGCCACATTCCAGGTAGGGATTATTCAGCCAAGCATCCGAGTCACCTGCCAGTCGGGAGCTGCCGAAATGTGCATCATCAATTGGCGTCGTCTGTGGAATACGCTATAAAAAGGCTATTTTCCCACCCGATTCTCTGAGCCTCAAGTAATAACAACAACAGCGCTTGATCGAAAGAACCCCCTAGGGGGGCAGAAGCAAAATGATTAACCCAGACGAGTCCGCGTAGTCTTGCCCTAACAGAATCTCCCTAACTGTGAGGCCACCCCCATATGTCGAGCTCTATGTGCTCTATGCGAGAGTTGATGGCCAATAGACTGTGAGGCCATCCCACAGGTTAAGCCCTCTGTGGTTCCCGTGGGAGTTGATAGCCAACAAACTGTGAGGTCGCGCTTCAAATCGAGCCCTCCATGCTTTATGTGGGAGCTGATAGCCAGCAGGTTGTGGAGCCGCCCTCGAAGGTCAGTCCTACCGAGGTGACGAGGTGTCTGTAGGCTGAGGTGCTGAGAAGAAAACTAGACTGACAAAATTCTGACACCTTGGCGACCTAGAGACTTGCCTCCGAACTGGCGACCTGCTTTCGCCGAACTGGCGACCTCCTTTCGCCAACCTGGCGACACACGTAATCAGCCTGGATGAGCCTTGTTAGCCCTGTTCGCAAGGTCGCCTCTATAGGTCGAGCCCTTTGTGGCTTCTGTAGGAGTCAGCGACCAACAGACTAAAATCGCCCTTGTGGGTTGAGCCTTTCAAGGTTCCCATGCGAGCTGGCGACTTGCAGTTTGTAAAGTTGCCCCCACAGGTTGAGCTCCTTGTGGCATATCGTAGAAGTGGACGACTAACACCTTAAAGGACTGATACAATGCAGTTGTGGCACCGACCCGCTATTTAAATTCCAACATCGATGCACATATCACAAGGGGAAGCCAAACTGCCTTCAGCATCAAGGACCCCTATGCCGACCTCAAAATATGTTGGCAACAGGCATAAGGACCTACAACGAAGCACAAATCTACTCCCTTCACTGAGCTGATCTCAACTCGGGAGTGGGGGGAAATTGATGAGGACAGATTTGGCCCTCCACTAATATCATGACACATGGCATCTCGGAACAATTGGGTGACACCCAAAACCACCTAGGCGACAACTTGCCTTAGCCAAATTGATGGAGTCCCAGCTAGCGACCTGGCACTGGCGTCGACCTGGCAACCTGCCTCTAGCGCCGACCTGGCGACCTGCCTCTGGTGCTGACCTGGCGACCTACTTCTAGTGCCGACCTGGCGACCTGCCTCTGGCGCTGACCCGGAGACCTACCTCTGGTGCCTACCTGGCGACCTACCTCTAGCGCCGACCTGGT